CCTTGTCTAATAATACCGTTTATAAAATATAGCAAATTTTTTTTTCAAAAAAAAATATTTACGATATTTTTCTTATATTACATTTTTTATTTCACTATATTGTGATAAAGAAATTTTTTTACTGTGAGAAAAATTTAATTTCTTTAAATTTTATATAAATATTTGTTAATTATAAATTTTTGTTCATTATAAATATTTGTTAATCATAAATTTTTTTGCATTACAAATACTTGTTAATTATAAATTTTTGTTTATTTTACATTTTTTTTCATTAAAAATATTTATTTTTCTATTTCTAGGACCTTAAGTTTTATTAAAAATTTTATTAAAAATATTTATTAATTATAAAAAAAATAATATTAAAAAAAAAAAAATTTTATTATTTTTATATTTTATTATTTTAAAAAAATTTTTTTTATTATTTTTTTTTAAATTAATATAATTATTTTTTAAATTATTTTAATTTTATTAAAAGATTTAATAGGGTTATTAATTTTTTTTAATATTTCGTTTAAAATTTTCATGAGACCTTGAAGAAGGTCAGATTTGATGGAATATATTTTAATCGTTTTGCAACTACAAAAGATTATGTGGCGAGTTTCTTGTTAATCATGAAACCTTGCAAGGCTTAGTTTTAGAGTTCTGTTGTACAAGATTGTCAATAAACTGGACAATATATCCCATTTCTCAAAATGTCTAAATTCGATCTGCATTAGCACTTAACGTCAAACTTGCATGTAAATTATTAAAGTCAACAAGGTCGACCTCACAATTTATATTATTATTCAAAAAATTAAAAAAAAAAACAAAGCAATTAGTTGCTATTTAATTCAAAAAAATTTTTTCTACTTAATTGATAATTTTTTTTTTCAACTTATTACTTAATAAAAGAATTGCTAGACATTACAATTATTATTATTTTTACAAATTTCTTTTTTATTTACTATTATTTATTATATTATTTTTGCTTATTTTATTTATTATTTTTACAAATTTTTTTTTATTTACTATTATTTATTATATTATTTTTGCTTATAACCATTTTATGAAATTGTAAAATTTTATTTTTAAACCTCACTTTATTTTTTTTATTTTTTTTGAAATTAATTTCAGATTCAAAAATAAATAAAAAATTTGTTTGCTATTAATTTTGATTGTGAAATATTTTGTTGTAAAGGAAAAAAAATATTTTTATTAAAAAAATAAATCCTATCGTCCCCCTTTTATTTCCCAACCCAGCGTTCTTTACAATGTATAATATTGGATCGGGCAATTAATTAAAATAATTATTTATATTTTCTCTGGAGAGTTGAAGGATGAGAACACATTGTATAGTGAGAGGGGTAGATAATGGGAAACCTTTGTTTTTTTATTTTATTTTAATCGATTACTATAGATTGCCGTTGATTGGATTCGATCGTGTTTCGAAGTTCTAATTAAGGACAAGGGTGGCAATAGGATAAAAGAAGCTGGGGGGAGGGAATCGTCGTGTGAACTTCATTCATCTAAATGAATTTCTAGATTACAAAGTCAATTTCTATTCTCTAAAGTAATTGATACCAATGTCAATAATCAAACTAAAAAGCAATTGATATTAATTTCATTTTCTGAATATTTCCATAAAAAATAATAACTGTCTATAAGTTAAAAAAAGTGAAATTTTTTTTTATTTCTACTTTCAAGTAAAAATTTATTTTTCAATCATGATTTTCTTTTTACTATTATTTTCAATGCCTGAATTATTTACAATTTCTGAATTAATATACATAAATATAATTATATTATCAATATACATAAATATAATTATATTATAAATATAATTATACATGATATACATTTTTTTAAATTAAAAAAAAATTGTTTTGCATAATTTTTTAAAACTTTAATTTATCAAAAAGTTTTCGAAAACTTTCGTCGGAGGGAAAATCAGTTTAGAGAATAATACATAACGCCACACACGTTAAGCTGTCAGGAGCAAATGACACACACAGTGCAGTAGTTTTGAATTGTTGAGAACTGACGAGTAAATTCAACTTATGTCTTAAATGTTCATTAAAGTGACATATAAATCATATCATACATAGAGTATCCCAGAGCTTTTAAGCGACTTTCGCTCCTGAAAATGGTAATTATTTTCAGAGCAGTTCAGAGAAAGTGTTCAAGGAAATTTTAATTATTAAAACTTGGGAGAAATTAAATTAAATTAGAATTAAAATTAAATTAAAATGTAATTTAAAGTATTAAATTTGAAAATAAAAATTTAATAATATTTAACTTTGAAAACGAATTGAATGAAAAGAAATTCGAATAAAATATTAACACAAACATTTTTCTCAGAAACTATTAAACCAAAGTTATCAGTTGTCCTTCTAAAAAACCATTTTTTCCAAAGTTATCAGTTGTCCTCGATTATAAAAACATTTTTCTAAAGATGTCAGTTGTCTTTCCTCTGAAAAAAAAAAAAATTCTCAAAAGTTATCAGTTGTCCTTCTATAGAAAAATCATTTTTCTAAAGTCGTCAGCTGTCTTCCCACTCAGAAAATAATTTCTCAAAAGTTATCAGTTGTCCATCGAAATTTTCTTTAAATATTTATTCAAAATCACAATCAAAATTAAAATCAAACTCAAAGAAAATAAAATTAAACTTATCATTCTTACGAATAGAGAAAAATTGTTTTAAAACAGTAAATAAGAATTATTTCTTTAGGAATTATTTTTAAAGTATTTCAATAGTTTTGAAAAGTTTTCTTAATGCCAATTATTTCTGTCTAGAAATTATTGTTGAACAACAAAGACTTAGCACACTTGAGAATTTTCACAATAATCCCAAGAAGTGCCAGAAATAAAATTAGTTTTGTTTAAAAATTGGCTTTACTTTTTAACAACTGTTTTAAAAATATTTCCCCTAAAGGTCGAATACTTTTTTTTATTTTTAGTTTCAGAGCCTTAAAAAAATTAATGTTTAGTTTTAAAAATTAATTATTATGTTAAAAATTGAATCTTATGTTAAAAATAAATTTTTATTTATAACAATTAATTCTTATTTAAAAAATTAAATAGTTCTTTTTGAAAATAAAATTTTTATTCAAGATTTTATTTTATATTTGTTTTTATTAATATGTATAAATCTGCAAAATCTTTTTATTTGAAACCATACATCGACCGTCTAATCCATTGTCTCGACCGCATGTGTTTTGTAGAAAATAAGAAGTCATAAAATTACCAGGAAGTATAAGATGTTTCCATAATATTGATTCTAAAAGTGCAAATAATTTTTTTGTTTAAACTAAATTTTTTCTTTCGAATTCTTCATTTTTTGAAAAGAAATCGAACATCGAAGATATTTTTCGATAAAACATAATAAAGATCAGATTTGTGATAAGAAAAGGTTGAAAATTTACAGCTATCGTAAGTTTGAGGCTCTAATAATAATAACTTCTATTAATATATTATTAGACTTTTCTAAAAATAAACATCAGACGCCTTGCTCCAAAAGATTTATAAATGTGCACCTAATTTCAGGGCATTAATTTCACAAGTCATTATATTGTCTTGCTACAAAATTTGCTATTTAAATTTTAATAATCTTTTAAAGCTCCCAACAAAATTTATCGTCGAAACAATGTAATTAATACAAAATTTGATATTAACATTTTTTTTAAGCTCTAGAAAAATTCTTTTTTCGAAAAGAATTCGAAAATATTTTTTACAACTTTTTTTTAATTGAAATTGAGAAATTCAAAAATAGTAAAATTATTTACGAATTCGAAAAGTAATTGATTGTGAAAATTTTTGTCGTCTCATAAATTTTTCTTTTGATCTTGCGCATCACTTGTATTTTAATTGTCCACTGTAATGAAGAAACCGGATACAAAATAGTTTGAATGAGAATAAAGTAAAGGCCAAGTACAACGAAGACCTGGCTCAAGGCTAAGGAAGACAGCAGCTAATTGCCAACTAATTTAGGCTGGCTTTCTCTAGGAGAAAATTTATCTACTGTACACAAAAGGCAATTAAGCGAAATTTGAGAAATTTTACTCTCAAGATATTTTCAACTTAAAACATTTTATGCCATAAATTTATACACTTCATTTGCACATCTGTTTATAATCTACGAAAAAAGGAATTCAACAAAATTTTTCCCCTATTTTTAAAATTCTATTTTAAATAATTATTGATTTTTGCAATTAAAATTTTTTTTCAATTTTCCCACCATCTAATTTATTCGACATTATCGATCATATTTCATAATTTGATTAGTCGATTCTAAAGAGCAGAAACCCTGAAATGTAATCATCAAATTACCCTTTTGGTTCATCGAAAATTGAATAAAACAGGAACTTATTTCTCGAAATTAAATTTCTAAAAACTAAAATTAAAAAATGGCTTTCATAATTGTAATAATAAAAAATAATCGTCAAATAAGTTTCTGTAATTCGGATCGAATGTCCATTTAGAAAAAAGATAAATAAAAGAAAGATTTTTATTCCTATAAATCGAATTCCAATAATTCCACATTCAAACTTTGATTCAGTCGAGAAAGAACCTAATTGTCAGTTCGACACATACATATCGGGTTTCCGTTTTGAAAGGAAGAATATTTTCCATTAAATAATATTTCGAGGCAAATAAAATAGAATTAATTATTTACTGAAAAGTTTGTAAACCATTTTTTTTTGTTCATAAAGTTTCAAACTTTCATATCCTCGCATTTATAGAAAAAAACAGGGTCAATTCTATATTTCAATATTGTGTCATTAATAAATTGCTTCTGTGATAGATTTTTTATTTATTGGAAAATGCAAATCCATCACAATTCTTTTTTGTAGACGATTAAATGACATCCTACGCAAAGGATTGGGAAACAATTTTTTTTTAAATTTTAAAAGAAAAATTAATTCACGAAAATGGTGAAATTTTTTTATTAATCAAAAAATTGCTTTTCACATTTTTTAGTTATACAAAATAGATTTTTTAATCAGCATATTTCTGTTCTTAAGGGCTGACTATTGGAAGTCGCAGACGCGAAAATTTTGTGATTATTGTAAATGTTGGCTAGCTGATAATAAGCCGAGTATTGAATTTCACGAGAATGGAAAAAAGCACAAGGAAAATGTGGAGAAGAAGCTCAAGGAAATTCGAAAGAAAAGCATCAAGGAATCCAAGCAACAACAAAAGTTTGATGACGACATTAAAAAAATGGAAAACGTAAAAGTTTCTTTAATCTAGAAAAGAATTTTTTTAATTCAAATTATTTTTCAAAAAATTATTTAAAAAAAGAAATTTTTTAAAATTTTTTACAGGCTGCCATGGCTGCTTATCTCAAAGACGTTGAAAACGACCGAAAGGATTTGACAGCAGAAAGTATAATTCGTCAGAAGAATTTAAAACTCGAAGAAAGCAGAGTGAGTCGAATTTTTTACAATGATTACCAATTTTTTTTCAAGAGAAAAATATGTACAAATTAAATTTTTTGTCTTTTAGGAACTACCAAATCCAAATCAAATGCCTTCGGCGTCAGCGGAAACGAATCCGAGGTTTCATAATGTAAAATCTTAACCAAAATTTAACATTTAATTATTTATTTTTTTTTTTTAATTAATGACAACGATTTGTTTTTAGTTTTCGTATGACAAGGATCCTTTGGATATAAGAAGAAAACCAAAGAACCCTCCGATGCCGAAGGGAAACCAAAAGGGTGGAAATCAGGGCAAACAGAGTAAAAAACAAAAAAATAAAGTTGCTCCGGAGGGAAGTCAGAGAATTACAAAATTGTGGTACGAAGCAAAGAGTCCCGAGGGATATCCATATTACTGGCACATTGAAACAAATGGTACATACAGTATTTTTCATTTCTCAAACGCGTCATTTTTCTAATAAATTGAAATATGAATGTCAAACGAAGCAAAAGCAATGAGTTCACGTAGTCGCATAATGGAAACTTTGATGTACATTTTCTCCATGACGAGTAAAACGAAAAAGTACAACTAAAATTTCCTTTTTTCATACTCTTTTCCAAGTATTCAAAGTCGTTTCCCTGCCTTTTTTTCGCTACGTAAATCATTACATAATTTACATTAGTTTCATTTTTTCAAATTTTTTTTTAAATTAAATCACAAGGTAGTATTTTCAATTTCACAAAGTTATCACTTTCTGATTCGATTTTAATTTTCTGTTTAGGAACTTTTTCAACATTTATTATTTAACAATTGAACTTTTTAAATTACATTGAAGTCTAATTCAATTTTACGATTTCAGTCACTAAAATATTGTAAAGCATTAAGCCTTTTGATCGTAGAGGCAAAGTTAGCAGTTGGTGCTTAGGTCATAAGTCCTGTTGCGTAATTATGAATATAACAATGCGTTCAAAGTTGTTACATAATCTTTTGTTGAATTATAAAAAGAAAATTCATAGTGAAATATATTTTGAGACTGTTTGAGTGTTCGGCACGTAAGGGCCAATTTAGACTCTGACCCATGACAATGCTGTGCTTACAAGGATCCAAATCGTCAAAAAAAGTGTACCGCGACTACTGGTCACGTTCATTGATCTCTATGGCAAATATCCCGAAATCTACCGTTTCCTAAACGCGAAAAAATTACCGCAAGGAAAAAAAGAGCAGTAAAGAAATAAAAGAATATAAACCTTAAACAATTTAATAGTGGATAAAATTAACTAATTCTTCCTACTTAGAAGAAGGGAGATTTATTGTAGCTATTTGACCAAAAGGTCCCTTTGACGCAAAGTGATCACTTGTCTTTATTGATTCACTAAATTAGAGTCAACGGTGCGCATTGCTTTGCTGATATCTTTGCAAATAACTAATCAATTGGCTTTTCAGAGCAAGTTGTCACTTGTCTGTAATACAAAGTGATCACTCATCTATAGTGACTTTTATTTAAAGAAACAGCCCTTTGAAAAAAATTTAAAGGAATCCCCCTTTTGCAAAAATTTAAGGAAACCCTTTGAGCCCATTGCTATTTTTTTAGTTTATGCAGAAAATCGTTTTTCTAAAGTTGTCAGTCCTGTTAAAAATGGTCCTATTCTCAGAAATGCATTTTCCCAAAGTTATCAGTTGTCCTTCGATTCAAAAACATTTCTCTAAAGTCGCCTTTCCTCTCACAAAGACTACTTCCACAAAGTTATCAGTTGTCCTTCGATACAAAAACATTTTTCTAATGTTGGCACTTGTATTTCGTCTCAAAAAACTATTTCCCCAAAGTTATCAGTTGTCCTTCGATACAAAAACATTTTTCAACAGTTGTCACTTGTCCTTCCTCTCAGAAAATAATTTCTTAAAGGTCGACTCGAGACATTGCTGTGGTTACAAGGATCCGAATCGTCAAATAAAGTGTACCGCGATAGATGGGTATGAGCATTGCTCCTTATGGGAAGTATTTCATCATCATGACTGGTATTCGATGGTCAATGATAAAAAAATAAATACTAGAAAAGTATTTCAGAGTGGGCACTTCTTTACAGAAGCGTCTTTCTTCGTCATATTCGAGGTCAGAGTAATCACTTGTCCTTTAGACAAAGTTATCACTTGTCCTGAACACAAAGTGGTCACTTGTTGACACTGATCTTCCAGAAAGTTAAAATTATTGTTGCCAATCAAGCTAGGTTCAGAGTGGTCACTTGTCCTGAACACAAAGTTATCACTTGTCCTTAACACGAAGTGGTCAGATGTCCTTAACACAAAGTGGTCACTTGTCCTGAATACTATTCCAGAAAACAGCCTTGGCTAGTTGTGTATTGCTTCAGTTTATTTTGTTTTGCAAATGGTCACTTGTCCATTGACCCAAACTGTTCACTTATTAATGGAAAAAAATAAATTAAATGTGTTTAATTTTTGCAAATTCTAGAAACTGTTTGGGAAGCTCCTGAAGAAGGTTACATGACAATAGCAGAGCAAGAGGAAGAGGCTAAAGAGCAACAAATTCAAGAGGAACTTCTAAACCAACTGGACGAAGAGGAGGCGGAGAAAAAAGCTGAAATTTTAGAAGAGAGGCGAGCAAATGACGAGAGGGAGAAATTGAAGGAAATTCGAAAAAGTAAAGAGGAGGAAGAACGAGATGAAGAGGAAGAGGAAATTCCCTACAGAAGAGATTATAGTGTTCCTGAGAAACCACAACCCTATGGTTCTTGGCAAACTGTTAAAGTTGTGTAAGTCCCCCCTCCCCTATTTTCAAGAGGAGAATTTTAAACAAAAACTATCTAAATTCCTTTCCTCTAAAAAACTATTCAATTTACAATTTAATTTAAACAAACTATTTAATTTATATTCTTTTATCTTATTAAAATATTTCCATTTTGTCAATAAAAAGAAAAAAAAAATTTTTAGGGAAACGAAACCAGTTGACCTGCAATTGCCAAAGAAAAAACAAGCACCAATTGCTCCGGTTTTGCAAAATGATTTGCCTCCACCTTCCCAACGAGTTTTTAAGGAAAAAACCATCGACAGAATAGTAACCGGAAGCGATGATGAAGATCAAGTACCCTCCACCTTCAAGAAGCGAAAATTTGGACAAAAAAATGTACGAAGAAGATGCGACGATTGAACGAAATTTCCCTTATCCTAAATTTTGAATAGAAAAAAATTTATTTCAAAGCTTGATTCAAAAACATTGAAAAAGAAATAATTATCCAAACTGAAAATCATTTGTGATTTTCCATTCTCAAAATTATTTTCCTTATTATCAGTTCAATTACCACTTGAAGGTAAGAACGATCCTCGACTTTGTAAAGTACCCTAAAGCGATACTTTAGAAAATAAAATATTTTTCACAAAAAAAAGTAAATTTTTTCGGTATTTATTGTAAAATCCAGTGTTGGGGTGATTTAGTTTCGAAAATTATTCCTGAATATGGAAAAGAAAATTTTTATTTACAAAAAAAATTTATTAAACACGTTTTACATTTGCTCGCAATGCGGCGCTCGATACTCTTTGTTTCTATTTATTTTCCATGGGAATGAGGTCAGTGCTTTTCTTTCAAGTCAGGTGAATACTCGTCTTTTTTTTCTCCAAGAAATGTAAAAATTTCTTTTACAGTTTTAATTTTGTGTAATCGATTCGAATTCTATTTCCGAAATTATTTCATATGATCATGGATCTTAAAAAATAAGTGCTGGTTGACTGTCATTCTTGATTTTTCAATTTTGAAGGTAAGATCAAAATATTATTTTTGTATTTACACTTTCGTTGAAGATAAACGTTTTGGAATTTTAGTTTCGCTAGATAAACGTTTTGGAATTCAACACTTTCGCTAGATAAACGTTTTGGAATAATTACTATCGTATTATAACAATAATGATGATAATAGTAATAACAAAATAAAAATAGTAATCATAATTCAAATCCTAGTTATAAGTTACAAAAATTTGTACTAAATTATATAAACTAAGCCTTAACGTTAGATTGTGTCGTTCCGTTAAGTTCATTGAAAATAGATTCGATAGTTCGTCCCTTCGTCTCCGGAACCATTACCACCGTTAGAAATAGTGTACAAGCACAAAATACAGCTAGAAGGAAAAAACAATTAGCAATTCCAATTAGTGCCATCAATGAAGCGAAGAATTTCACTATCAGAAAGAGGAGAATCCACAGTGAACTCAATGATATCGAACTCGCTAAACTCGCAACGTCAGGTTTGAAAATTTCCGACACCACAATAAATGGTACGGGACCCAAACCTAAACAGTGAGCCAGGACAAAAGTCGACAGAGCAATCACCGGAATCCATCCAATTGACGTTAGATCATAATCCCTAGCTTGAAAGTGACAAAAGATTCCGAGAACAACATGACAAGTGCACATCAGTCCACAGGAGATAATGGTCAGTAATTTTCTTCCCGCCCTTTCGATGAGGAATGTCGAAATATAGGAGCCAATTAGTTGCATTATTCCAATGATGATCGTCGATATATCCGGTGATATTGAACTGCCGGACATTTCAAAAATTTTCGTCGCATAACTCAGCTGGAAAAATGAAACTGTATTGAGTATTTTTCCCCAATAGGGATTAAAATTTAGTTAAACAATTTACTTAAACAATTTACCATCACGAACATTCCACACATTTGTTGTCCACCCAAAAGAATGAATGCTATAATCAGTCCCTTAACTGTTCCCTTCTCCTTAAAGAGATCGGAAAGTTTTGACGATTTCGAAAAACTCGTCTCCTTTACCTGTCCCTGAAGGTACGCCAATTCCTGTTCGATCGCCGCCTTGTTTCCCCCCTTCAACCATGACAATGATCTGGAATTAAAAACATCTGGAGACTATTCGATAATTTTTTTCCTTCCTCCTGAGGGAAGCTTTCTTCCTTTAGGAGGAAGGAATAGCTTTTTTCCTTTAGGGGGAAGGATAGGGAAGCAAAAAGAATTGGTAAAATATTGTTAAAAAAGTTCGTTGTGATAAAACAGGAAAGAGAAAAAAATTAAATTTGTTTTCAACTCACTTGATTGCATCATTAAGTCTATTATTTCTAATTAAGTACACAGGTGTTTCCGGCAGGAAGACAAAGCAGCCGAGATAAAATACGGGCAGACAAAGGCAAACAATGCCAAAGAATTTGAATGATAATATCGGTCCAATGATATATGAGAGGAGAATTCCAATATTTAGAAAGAGAACCAAAAAACTTCCGGCCGTCCCTCGAATTGCGTCGCTTGTCGTCTCGGAAATGTAGAGGGAGATGATAAAAATGCATCCAGCACCACCGCAACCGGCAACGAATCTCGCGGCTATGAGATAACTTGAGTCTTGTGCGAAAATCTTTAGGAGCCAACTAAGTACCAAGGGCAATGCTATCAGGCAGCCGACAAATTTTCTTCCAAATTTCTCGGCAAGTGGTCCTAAGATTGGAGTCATTACTAAGCCACCCAGGCATAGGGCGCTAATTAGCCAGGAGGCTGTCTCGTCTGTCATGGGTTCACTTCCCACTGGTGTGTCCTGGCTCAAGAGACGCGGGAGGACGGGAGCCACCCATCCTAGTGATGTTCCATAAGCCAGGGCTGATAGACTCACTGAAATTGAGAAAAAAAGGTTATTTTTTAAATGAACGGAATTCCCCATCAAGTATTTTTGTGATTTTTGATCAAGGGAACAATTATCTTATCGAGATGGTTTTTGTTGGAATCGTTGACAACTTTCGCAAACTTTTTTGGAAATCGCTTTGAAATGATCAGAAATATCTTGGGAAGTTTCCGGAAATCTCGGTTTTTTGATATTTCCGGGAAAAAAACTTCGGGAGTGGATTTTGGAAAACCGTGGGAACAATTCCTACCTGTCCGGAAATATTGCTTTCTGGAAATTCTCTGGACGGGTTTTCCCAAAAATGTTAGGGATAATGACAAACATCTTTGTTTCCTGATATTTTCCCGAAAATCTCCAGGAGTGTAATCCGGAATACCGTGGGAATAATTCATGTCCTTCGGGAAATATTGGTTTCTGGAAATTCTGTGCGTTTTTCGGAATTATCTCTAACATTAATCGAAATCTTGGTTTCCTGATATTTTCGAGAAAATCATCGTGAGAGGATTTCGGAAAACCTTAAGGAATAATTCCTGTCCATCCAGAAATCTTGAATTCCAGAAGTTCTCTGGAAGTGTTTATCGAAAAATGCTAGGAATAATATTTCTGCATCATAGTTTTCTGATATTTTCCAGAAAATCTCCGGGAGTGGAATTCAGGAATTTCGGTTTTTGGAAATCCTCTGGGAGTGATTTCCCTGAAAATGTCCAGAATAATTCCAGAAACCTTGGTTTCTCGATAATTTTCAGGAAATCCCGAAAAATCTTTTCAAGAAATCTTGGTTATTTAATTAAAATCAATACCAACGAAAAAATAATCTTCTTTGTAGGAAGATATTTTTTTTGTTAAGTTGAAAGTGAAGATTTTTAATGAAAAGTGGAAGGAACGTTCCTGTCAACGATATAATTACTACTTTGTATCACGAAGATTTCTAATAACTGAATATCATCATATTATCAAAATTATAGAGCATCTTTCGCTCCAACCTTTGTCAAGTTCATGTTCAATATTATATAAGATTTTTTAATGATTCGCACAAGTTTCAAATTTTTATCAAATTGACCATCTACTTTTCTGAAAAAATTACATTGCAAATATAATTTTAAATACTTTTAAAATACAATCATACGATAGAAAATAAAACACAAAATTAAACGTTTTCCTATGTCTGATGTTCTCAAACTTTAAATCATTTAAGAAAGTAATTTGGAATTAATATTTTGTTAAAAAATTTATTATTTAATTCTTACAGACCTGTAGTTGCAGCTAAATATTGTCGACTTTTCCCCGGTATCGGAGGCATTACTTTTTTCTCAGACATTCTTACTTCCTTCTTATTAAAATTTTAATTTCAAAAAATTCTTCATATATTTTTCACTTTAATTGTACAAGATCACAATTTATCGATTACATTTGTGAACAGTCGTCAAGAGCAATTCTCGAAAACTATTTTTTTGACCAAACCTCGGAAATCGGTTTGATAAAAGAAAGAAGAAAAAATACTTCTATGAAAAGAAAAGTAAGAAATAAATTCTTGTAAGTTCAATTAACTTTTGCAAAAAATTGCCTCCTAATTTAATAAATTCAAAAACTGTTACTGCCTGAACGAATTTTGAAACAGTAATGACTTTTCAGTTCTTTCACTTTTTTTCTGTCACACACACTTGCCGCTCTAAACAATAATATTCTCCTTCTGTGATTTTCTCATTGTCTTTACGCGAATCGGTCGCGAGACCATGTGAGTTGAACTCCTCTTATCTCGCAATGAATTCGTACATGATTTTTATTACACTAAAATGGAAAATTATAGGTGATTGAATAATTAGATTTTAATTGGACGTACGTACAGCGTTTGTGAGCGAATAGAGTGGAGGTAATTTGTGTGACAACGAAAAGAGTCGAGACGATTAAATTTTCCTTTAACTTCTCTATATATAGGACATGCAAAAATGTTTGTAAATTTGTTTAAATATGTTTTTATACACACTGCTGCTATACAAAAAAACAATTTTTAATTCAAAGCACATGGAATTTTTTTTGTGTAATTATAGGGTATTATTTATAAACACCTTATTTTTATTAAGAGCGTAAAAAAGTTACAATATAATGTCTTATTTTTTCACCAACCGGAAAGCTTTTTTAATGCTTTTTTTACATAAACAACTTTTTTAAAGTTTGTTCCAAAAAAATAGTCTCTAAAACAAAAATTAATAAATAAAATAAATCATTATTTCTTAAACCAGTTATTAAAATTCTAAATATAAATTAATACTTTCATAATTTATTTACTACAAAAATAAGCATTATAATAACTTACAAGTCGTAAATTTTATTAAATTTACTACGTTTTAAGCGCTAATTATTTTCTTGTTTATCTTGTACGCGAATCACTACAAAATTATCCTGCAACCTTGATTTTTATAACTTTCATAATAAAAGTATAGAAAATTTATTTCACCTGGAAAATAATTAAAGATATTTCATTTAAATATGTAGCATAAGTTTCCAAAACAATTTCTTTCGAAGTGTAAATTCTTCATTTCGTTGATTTTCTAATTCCATTAGTTTGTTTGTCTATTTCACAATATGTAAAATTCGCAATTTTGTATCTAATTATCAGAGAAAAAATAAATATGTGACATGATGTGTTGCATAACTTTAAACCAAACTAATTTTCATCAATTTTCATTTTCCATTTAGCTTCAAAATGTCAGAAGTTGCATATACAAGTTAGAAATGAATAAATCAAATAATTCTTTCGAAATAGAAGATAATGAAAGTACAACAATGTTTTATCATTTTCTTCATTTGATTTTCTTTCACAGGACAATAAAAATATATTTATTTTTTGTATCACATGGAAGTTTTTAATAGTGAAATATTTGTTTGCAGTTGTTTGTACTATTGATACAGAATGGCATGGCACTGCAATGGGAGTTCTAATCAGGAAATGATTATAAAATTAAAAGGTAATTAAACAATTCCCCTTAGTCAACACATATTTTATTTAATAGATGTAATAAATAAAATTTTTTATCTCAGAGGCTGGTATTCTGGCGACGACAAGTGCTGAAGCTGCAATGATAGCAGTTGACAGGGGAAGATTTTGCCACGATGCCGATCCCTATTTAGATCGTCCCCGGAGAATTGGTTACAACGTCACAATTAGCGCACCGCACATGGTAAATATTTAATTCCACAAGGTACATAATTAGAAAACTATTACAAGATACAATTTTGATTTTTATCTGAGAAAAGTGTCTATCATTTTGACATATTGTGTTTTTCGAAATTTCGTAGTAATTTCTTTTATCATCGAGTTATTTTTAAATATAATTGTCATTATGTTTCATTTGTAGCACGCCTATGCTTTATCTATACTTTCCGATCACCTGAAGGATGGAGGAGTTGCTCTTGACATTGGCTCAGGATCAGGATATTTAACGGCTTGCATGGGATTTATGGTGGGACCAAAGGGAAGAGTCGTTGGAGTTGAACATATCCCTGAACTTATCGAAATTGCGACGAAAAATATTCAGGCGGACTGTCCCCATTTATTGAGGGATGGTCGCGTCAAATTTGTAGGTGAGATACTTTTGCAAGGATTCATGGCAATTATTGTAATTCATTCCATTTCGTATTGCATTCTTTTACCCACTTACATGATTTAGAGTTAAAATGTAAAATTAAATTCATGAGAAAAATAGATTGTGATGTTTGTCACATGTGGGCCATTTGGTCTTAGACACCGACCCGTGACATTGCTGTGGTTACAAGAATCCGAATCGTCAAAAAAAGTGTACCGCGATTGATGGGTACGAGCATTGCTTCTTATGGGAGGTATTTTATCATCATGACTGATGATGATCATCACTTATCACTGATGATGGCTTTTAATTATTAAATACTGGAAAATTGTTTTCGAGTGGACAATTGTTTATTATTTAATTTGTCCACGATACCAAGTGGTAACTTTTCGTAATCTCCTAGATGGTAACAAAGTTGCTGTTGCCAATTGCTATCGTCTTATTTCGTTCAAAGTAATCACTTGTCCTTTGGACAAAAAATATTGACCTCTACAGAAAGTGGGCACTTGTTATTAATAATTTTCTAAAAAACCATATAGCAGTCTTGTTGCGCCTAACATTCGTCAAATTTAATTCAAACTGGTCACTTGTCTTTTAGAGAAAGTTATCACTTGTCCTTAAACGAAAATGGTCACATGTCTATAACAATTTTCTACACAGTGACAAAATTACTGCTGCGTTTTCCTTCGTCGTATTCGAGGTCAAAGTGATCACTTGTCCTTTAGACAAAGTTATAACTCGTCCTTCACACAAAGTGGTCACTTGTTGACACTGATCTTCAAGAAAGTTAAAATTATTGTTGACAATCAAGCTAGGTTCAGAGTGGTCACTTGTCCTGGACACAAAGTTGTCACTTGTCCTTAACACAAAGTGGTCAGTCGTTCATAACAGAAAGTGGTCATTTGTCCTGAACACAAAGTTATCACTTTGTCCTTAACAGAAAGTCTAACACCAAAAAATTAGTTTGCACTGCTTTTTGCAACCCTGGTGAAAATATCCTTTTGAGATTACTAAAAATGTTTTCGTTTACCTAAAAAGATTAGTTTAACTTTTAAATTTAGTTACCAAAAAATTATTTCCATTAAAGGCTCTCAAGAGATAATATTTTGCCAGGGTCGTGACAATTTTAGAAGTAGGTACGTTATCATGAGGAATCAAATGATACAAATGGCTTTGCTGTGCACCTAAAATTAAACAGAATACTAACAACTGGTCATTCTGAATGCGCCTGTATAGTGGCTGATGGCAGACAAGGATTTGAGACTGACGGACCTTATGATGCAATTCACGTCGGGGCTGCTGCTGACTCTCTACCACAAAAAGTATGTTTGTGCATTAATTTAAAAAATAAACATTAGGCTCAGTTATAATATTAGAAAAACTGCTCCACTTTTAAGATCCGCGACTTGGATTGTCGAACCCAGATATTTATTTTCTTAATTTGTAATTGAATTCCTGTTTTTACAGCTTATTGATCAATTAGCACCGGGTGGTCGACTAATTTGCCCCGTGGTGGCTGTGGAAGGATTTCAAAGATTCCAGGATCTACTTCAAGTTGACAAATCAAAAGACGGTGTGATTTCGAAACAGAAACTGATGCAAGTTTCCTATGTACCTCTCACTGATGCTAGCAGTCAACTTAAGAAACCTGAAAATTAACGATTAATTACACCGCATAGGAATAGTTTTTAGTAAAAATTGTAAAATACTCTTCGCCTTCTCTGGTACATTATTAAAACGAGTTATAGATTTATTTAAATACAAAGTTAATATATATTTTGCAAAACTATTTTAATCGAATGTTAATAATAAAAGTCTATTTTATACTGTTTCTTCTTCTGTCTTCAAAACGAAACCCAAACTCCCAAAAAATTTTTTTAAACCTCAACAAAAATTCCAGATAGAATTTAATTCATTTGAATAAAATTTTACTTATTTGTAGTTTAATTTAGCTTTGAGGCTGCTATACCGTAACGCGAAAAAGAAAGGAACATTTAAATATTCCCGCCAGATATCTCAGGAGAGAATTTCTATAAACTTCTAGAGAGAATATTACAATACCAACAATTGAAGGGTTATGAATACTATCGATATTTTATCAAAACATTCTTTCTAATGCAAATTTTTCCCACCCTTCCTATTATTTGGAAAAAAATTATTGAAAATAGATTTAACAATTTTTACGAAATTGAACAATTGAAGTAAGTTTAAATTACTGTCAGAAAACGAGATTGAAACTAATCTTCATGGTTGACGTTACTCAATTGCCATTTCAGAATGTAAATACCGTAAAAATTCTTTTAATTACAACAGTCGTGACATTATTATCATTTTGTGTTCACGAAATGGCATTCTTTGCACGTTTTCAAGCCAACAGCAATGCGGAATTATTGCAGTATCTCAAAAGTGAGTGGAATAAGAATATTCTATTAGGTTATGATCTACTTTTTGTTTATTTTCACATTTAGTTATTTTAAGTGTTAATATTTATTTTAATCTTACACAGATCTTACTGTCTTACTCTTTTCTACAGAAGCTTTTACATTTAAAGTGTTATTTTAATTTAAAAAATGCTGATTATGTCCGAATAGTTACAACAGATTAGGTAACGTTACCCAATTATTTTTTCCAAATATTGACTTTTAGAAACGAAGGTAATTAAGACACAAAGAGTGTATGACGCAATGCTGGCTGTCGATAGAGGATCTTATACTCAATTGGAACATGCCTATGTTGATTCCCCCCAAGGAATTGGTTATGGTGTCACCATAAGTGCCCCACACATGGTAAACGAAAAGTAAAAAATATTATTCATTTCATTAAACGAAACTTACAATCGTTACAGTATTTTATATTCTAGTAATTTGAAAGTCACTTCATTATAATTTAGGGACTTAAGGTTTTGGAATAAAAAATCATAAATCTGTTTAGCATGCACATGCCCTGGAGCTACTGGAAGATAAACTACGGAATGGTAATCGAGCCCTCGACGTGGGATCAGGATCTGGATATTTAACGGCATGTATGGGAATGATGTTGAGTCCAGATGGTTTAGCTGTAGGTGTTGATCATATTCCCGAACTGAAAGAAATGGCCGAGCGGAACATTAGGCAAGGGAATCCGGATCTTCTCGCCACTAATGTTGAACTAGTTGGTAAATTTCTAAACGATTCTAATTTTAATTGTGTGAACACGGAATTTCAAAATTAAATTCATCTTCTTGACTATTTATCTAACGGACAACATAACGTAACAATGGGTTTGGTCCCGTTTGTTAGTTGCATCCTTTCCTAGTTTTACAACAGAAGTTAACCATTGGAATTGACAATGAATTATAAGCAATATTTCTTTTTTCTTGAATTGCACATCTAATGAAATAGTGTTACATTTATTACACTTCCGATAATCGATTAAAAGAATATCAACAAAATTCAACAACGGAAGAAAAAATCAACTATATAGTAAATAATAATTATTTAACTCCTGCAGTTGGGGACGGTCGATTAGGATATGAATCACGAGGACCCTATGATGCAATTCACGTTGGAGCGGCTGCAAAAGAATTACCTCAGGCGGTTAGTAAAGTTTTCTTTTTCGAAATTAGTGGAATAATTATTTTTTGTAATGTAATAAATATTTTTTTTAGCGTAACAAATATTTTTTTTAGTATAATAAATCAGTTGTTATCAGTGTAATAAATATTTCTTGCAAAAATTTACAGTTAATTGACCAATTGGCGCCAGGTGGCCGGCTGATTGTTCCAGTGGGACCCGAAAGAGGCGACCAGGAATTGTTCCAAATCGACAAGACTGTAGATGGTGAAATTAAGAGCAAATCGTTGATGGGTGTCGTCTATGTCCCTCTCACCGACAAAGAGAAACAATACAGATCATGAGATTCGTGTGAGCTTCAGTGAGACCAAATTTTTGTTATTTGATTATTTATTTAACTGACTGGAGCACAAAAAGATTGATCCGTGTGGCACACATGAAAGTAAAATTATCATTTGTTTCATTTATTGGAATCACTGATTAGTAAATGTATTCACATCATTTTTCTTCAATATTGTACAAAGTTAAATATAATATACTCTATAATAAATTTAATGTTAACTTAACAGATTTTGTAATTCTACGAAAAACAATTGCTTTTACCAACAAGGCATGGTACTTAATTTCTAAAAAAAAATTTGTTATATCATATCACAATGACTAGATTGACGAATATTTAGTTTTAAAACGAAAATCTACTATTTCAGGCATACAATACAGTAAGTCGAAAATTACTCACAAATTTTCTTTACCAACGCTCATAGGTTTGTCATTCTAAACTTAAAGTAGTATGAGAATTTTTTTTAAGTTCTATAAGACTCGATACTTTGATTTCCGGTTTTGAAAATTATCGCAGTTTTCACATTTAAATTCTTAATGAATGAATAGTGGAATGTGCGCATTCAAGTACTAACCTAATTAAAACTCTATTTTCTCTTTGTTTTTCCAAAAAAAAATTTTTGTTAATAAAATTAGGTTACGCCACTCTGAACTTTGCTAAAAATTAATCCTAATTGTCCTTTTTGAAAATATCTCAATATAGAAGTTATGATCATTAGAATCCGATGCTGTATTCCCGTCAGTTTCTAATCCTAAACTGCAGACTACATTTTCAGGTCAGTTTTTAAATACTTTTCAATTTCGTTATATTTTTTCTAAAGCTAACTACAAGTACTTTAAGAGAATAAATAATAAGTTTTCCGCTTTAACAGTTTTGTCAAAATATTTTTTTTTAAAACGTCCAATGTTCAGGCATTCAAAGTGGCGTGACCCCTAAAATTCTCTTCTTGTGGATTTGAAGAATTTTCTTAAGATATATAACAAAAGTCGAGACTAAAGTTAATGACATTAAAAAATAGTTTTTCTAAAATTTAAAAGAATTTGAAAATACTTGTCGATTTGTGAAAAGTCGACTTGTAAAAATAAATAGTTTCATACTAAGAGTATACAAATTTCAGTTCGTATAAAATCAATTAGAAAAAGCTTACAAAATATTAATTGTAAATACAAAGATATTAGAATAAGGCAACTGGATTTGTTTGGTAATTTTTTTTTTCTGAAACAGCAAATGCAAAAGGCAGTGAATGCTAATTTCGATCAGGTAAATAAAATTTTAAATTGCTCTCACTAGAGCAAGACTCATGGCCGAGCCAATCGTTATTCCTAAACCTAGGAAACCTCCAGTCATCGCGGATGCGATTTCTCTTTCTTGAGGTTCGACCACCCTGTAAAGAGAGAACATATTTTTCATTCGGAGAATTAGAGTTCTGGAGGACGGATCTGTTTTGGAAGTAGCTGACTCCTTTTCTAGGAAGGGGTTAGAGCTACTTATGGTAACCTTAGTCCCACTGTTTAGTGAGGATACTCATAAGATTTGTAATTTATAATTATAAATGCAATTGTAAAATGAAAACTTACGTGGGAACTAAAATGAAGATAATGTTGCACAAGTAACCATTGCTGAGAGCAAAGACAATCGTCATTAAAATGTAAATGAGATCACTTTCAATGTAAACGGGCAAATTATGTCTCGGCTGTACATTGCAATACAAAAATGCTGGTATAAATGCCGCCCTCACGACACACAAAAATATAACAAGCCACGGTTTTCCTTTAGGCTGAAAACAAAAATTTACAAAATCCTCAAAACTTGTTTCTAATGAAACATTTCTAATCAAACAATTCTTTGGTTCACTAAATACGTATTTTAAAATAAAACTTACTCGTAAAATAACTCCGGACAATAATCTACCTGCATAATCGCCACAACTGAACAATAAATAAGTAACAACTGGAACGAAGTAGGTGTCTGGAAAAAGTTTACAAATTTAAAGATTGGTCGATTTATTAATCTATTTAATTTCAGATTTTTAATTGTCAAAATAAAATACCATTCCAGGCGTGCCCGTGTCCACGATATTGACTTTCAATTAGGACCGTGAGAGCAGGACACACGCTCATTGTAATAAAAAATAACAGAAATATGCTAACTCCATATTTCCAAATTCTCCTAAGAATACGTAGATAGGAAATCCTATGTCCGTGTGCAAAGGACACGTCTCCATTTACTGTGAATTCATCCTCGACAGCCAAATGTCTAGTTTTAGCTACTGTATGATGTTTGAAGAAATCCTAAAAAAACGGTTTCTTTAATAAAATATGCTAATTCAGTGATTCGGAATAAAGAAGATAATTGGGGTACCAGGAGGATCTGCACTTTTCATTAAAAGGGGAAGTCTGATTTCGATGGTCAGGGAAAGTGGTTACTTCCAGTGGATGAATCAGCTACATCAGAAGCTACTGAACATTAGAAGGGGAATTTGGATTTCGATGGTCAGAGAAAGTGGCTACCTCCAGTGGATGAATTAACTAAATCAGGAGCTAGGGATGGAATTTCAATCGGTGTTTCTGATAAATCCTTGGTTTTGGAATTCAAACAGTTGGTAACAACATAACTGTTAGTTCTGATAGACCATAAAGCAAAGATACTCATGGGAACTTCATTGGAGTCACACCCTTCAATGAGGATACTCTTAATTTAAAAATGTTTTTGTAATTTATCCAATCGAGTTAATTTAAAATAATCGGTCAACTACTGGACTGCAGTTTTCCAAAAAACATAATTAAATAAAAGTTACCACTCGACAGCATTGTAAAGTGTACAAATGCACAAATTACAATATTTGTATAAACAAATATTGTAATAGCAATAAAATAGTATACTGCTGACGAAATAAATTCTCCAGCATAGCATATTTCGATAAGCAGCTTAGACTTAGTACCACATGTGGTGATTATTACAAGAGTGACTAATGCTCCTGGTATCTGGGTGAATATGGATGTAGCGGATAGAAATTAACAAAGAGAATAATAATAATAGAAAAGTAATGAAAAAATTCCTCACTTACTGCTTTCTGTAAGAAGATGTAGGCAATCAGAGAGAAGAAGAGCATCGCATCACCGATAACAAAATACAATAATGCTGATACAACCGGACTAGCACCCAACCAAAGTGAACAAATTTCCGTCAACGCTGCAAATATTCCCGCAAGTGCTTGACCACCAGACATTGCTGTTATGTATCTAGCCGGAAATCTTCCGACAATTCCCAAAAGACTTCCTCCAAATATTGCACTTGCCACTGAAAATGTTTTTCATTATTATTTATCTCCAAGGGGAGATTAATCTCAAAAAGGAAATTTTTGGATTTGAAAAATAAACTTTGACTTACTGTTCATCAATGCCACTGAGGATAGAGTTATAATTAGAAATGTACTTTGCCCTGAAATTGAAAATTTCTCCATTACTTCTATTGTTGTATTTACCATATTTTTTATTTGTAAACTTTGAAACTATCCAATTTTGACAAAATTAATATTTTTTGCTGTCAATTATTAATTATTAATTATGCCAAATGTGTCCTTGGAATTAGAATTAGACGAAAGATTAACATACATTGATCGGTGTCGGCTTTGACAAATCCTGTTGTGACGAGGAAAATTAATAAAACAAGACCTTGTGTTCCTATCATTCGCAATTCGAGAGATATTCTAAAAAGAATAATTACAATGAAATAAATAAAATATAATAGTATTTTAATTAGTCTTATATCAACACTTACTTATTACTTATGAATGCATTAATTATCAAGAAAAGTGTATTTGGAATAGAACTGGTTACAGAAAGATAAGATATAAAGCTCGCTTGTAATTCACTTTTCTTTCCTAATTGGTCCTCGATAGAATAATTGTGATTACTGTCGTTACGAATCTCTCTAAATTTGTACATCCAATACTGGAAAAAAATATTTACAGGAACAGTTATCATTCAGTGCCATTAACATTTGATCCTAAAATTTACAGATACAGATTTTTTTTTCAAATTTACCTCGTCAGCTGTCATGAAAAAGCACCATGGAATTAAAGTTGTCATTCCAAGTAAATAAAACACTACATAAGTAAATTGAAATCTGAAAAAGTATGATATAAGTTTAATCTACATACAATAATAATTTCGTAAGATACATTTAGTTTCTTCAAGTTCCCAGTGTGCACGTTCCGGAACAATTAAAAGAAATTATTACAGTAGTTTTCAAAGTTTTAGGACCACTAGACACAGATTATTGGGGAGAAAAATTTTTATATGCAACAAATTTTAAATTTAACTTTATTTTAAATTTAGAGGATGGAGGGGGAATTTTAAATTTGTACTTCTCTGCAAATGTTGATGCTTTATCCATGATAATTTTTTTTTTGTTTTCAAAACAAACTTTTATACTAAAACCCTTCAAGTCTGAAGAAAGTAAATCTCGAACTGCATGTCGAATAGGGGGTTGCAAAAGTCTGCGTGCGCTGACGGATTAAACAAAGTGACAAGCTCGTTTGTACATCTAGGGTAAAGTTTTTTTTTTACTGATTTTATTAAAGAGATTAGGAAATTATTTTACTTCCGTAAATCTCTCAACTCATGTTATTGTTTAATATTTTTTAACTGTACTTTAAAATTTTCGAGATCACTGAATAAAAATTTTACCTCAGATATTAAACATTCAAAATGGAGGATTCAATATGGCGGACAATTTTTAAATTGACCAGATTTGCCTCAAAATTGTTACTCGGGGGTTTTTGGGGTCACTGAATACAAATTTGATACTTAATTTTAAAAATTCAAAATGTCGGATTCAATATGGCGCACAATGTTTTTTAATTGACCAAATTTGCTTTAAATTTTTTTCCTGGGGGGTTCTGGGGTCACAAAATCTATATTTGGCATCAGATTTACAAAATTCAAAATGGCGGATTAAATATGGCGGACAAAATTTTAAAAATTGACCAGATTTGCCTCAAATCTGTTACTCAGGGGTTTTTGGGGTCACTGAATTCGAATTTGACATCAGATTTACAAAATTTAAAATGGCGGATTCAATATGGCGGACAAAAATTTATTAATTGACCAGATTTGGTTGAAATGTGTCACTCGGGGGTTTTTGTGGTCACTGAATCCAAATTTGACCTCAGATTTACGTAATTCAAAATGGCGGATTCAATATGGCGGACAAAATTTTTTAAATTGATGAATTAAACTTTGATATCTTACAAATCTTTAAAATTGTTTAATAATACAAAAAATAGTGTAGATAAAATAAATTATTAAGTAAAATAATAATAATAATAATAATAATTGTCTTACTTATCCACTGGTTCATGTGGCCTAATAAATGGTTCTTCATCTTGTGTAGAAATATTCGGATCTTCAATTTCAGTCTCTATGTCGTCTTCAAATTCACTATCGCTAATTCCCCTCAATAAGGGTTGTTTATTTATAGAGTATGCCATACTTCAGCGATTTTTTTTTCTAAACTGAAATATTTCAAAAAATTATAATTAAAAATTTTCCTTTATAACTAAAATTAAAACTAAATTTCAAAGTTCGTGTTTTATTATAATTTGAATTTTTTTTATTCCTTTAGTCTATATAAATTACTAAACTGATACAAAAGTTGGATTAAAATTCTAATTTTATTAACGTTCTTTAGTATCAATTTGACTTACTTTTTATAGTTTCAAGTTAACAATGTAATGAAAAATGATTAACAAATGAAAAATGTATGTCATTATCAACAAAATAAAAAAAACACGTTTTGTTTTGCTTCCTGTTTAATTTCGTGTATGTATGTTATCATAATTATAATTGTCATAATGATACGAAGCAACACAACAAAGCTGAGATAAAATTAAAATCCCATATCTCTACTGAGTGTAGTAAAGATTTGTAAAATTATCAATTTTTCGTTAATCTTAATAAATAAATATATTTATAATTATTATTATAAAACATATTTTTTTTATTTTATTATTAATATTTGTTCTTTTTTTGTTATAAATATTAGTTATTTTATGTAATTTAATAATAAAAAAATAATTAATAAGAAAGAAAGTACTGACCAATTTTATATATTAGTAAATCACAGCTCTCCAATTGGCATCTATACAACTAAGGGACAAACACTTTGTGCGATAAAACATTGAAATAGAAGAAAAAAGAACTATTTGTAATTATTATTATTATTAATAATAAATTACTCTAGCGATTATTGTTGTTGTATATCCATCAGGGTCGAAATCTTTGACACAATATGTGCAACATACTGCACGTGTGACATTGATTGTCAGCGAATGAACAATGCACTTCTGCATGGAAAAGCAACGTCTGATAAATGACTCGAAACAGAAAGTAATCAAAGATTTTTTTTTTTCTTTAACTAGAACTAAATAATAATCCCGAGTGAAATTCAACTTTGCGTTGCCCCTTCCACGCTTACGACATTATTAAACGTCAAAGCCAGCTGTGAATTCCATTCAAGATTTTAGCATTCAATAAGAAAAGTTTGTGAAATGGTAGGAATCGTTTTTATTGACGGTGAGTTCACGCACTCACCACCAATAAAATGATTCCTAGCGCCACTTGTGGACCAGTCCGAACGACGTTGGTCCTGTGTACGGTCAGTAAGTGGAAAATAATGAAAAGTTCTTTATCGAAACTAATGCAAAAACACCGGTGGTAACACTAAAGACAGAAATTAACAGTTTTAAAGAGAGTTTTAAAAAATCCAGATTTAGTCAAATTTCAAAAAAAGGGTTGAACTTAGAAAACCAAATCGTAACAATGTTTCCATTCAATTTCCAATGCGAAGTGGTCTTGAGTTATTCCTTCTCAGTGATTGGTAAGCTGCATGACATTTTCTATATTTTATTTTGCAAAATTAGTTTAAATATTCGGTCTTCTCTCAAATTCTTTTCTTTTTCATTTTTTTTTTTTTTTTGACAAATTATACAGTCCTTATATTGAAGCTACCTCTAAAACCAAAAAAACAAAAATTTACTAATTGTTTTTAATATTCAACTTTTTGGTACCCTTGCTCTTCACCTGTTTTGACAATGAAATAATTAATAAATAAATGACAATTAAATCTAATATTTTTTTCTATCGTCAATACAGAATTTACGTTTATCGACCCCCCTTCATCAATATAAAAAGCGACATCTCCTTGCTTCGCTCAGTAATTCTGTAATTCAGTATTTTTATTTTTTTTTTCTTAAACACACCAGAACGTTGTTTATTCTTCTGACATATATCAGTATCTATATGCTGGAAATTTATTTTTCAATAACACTATTGTGTCAGTTGTTGTTACTTGATAAAAAATGTTATTTTTCATCAAATGTTTCACTATAACACCCTTGTGATGAATTTATAGTGAAAAAAAACATGTACTGTACATTAAAATCCTGGTAAGTGATAAACTTTTTTTTAAAAATTGATAATTTTTACTTTGCTACTTAATTTTTGACTTTAATTATTTCTTTTTTAAAAAAAACAGCTTGTGCAGGAATAAAGTTGTCAGGGCTCTAAGTACTGGTGAAGTTTCCACAGCATTAAGACCATTTTATTTTACAGTACATCCAGATCTTTTTGGACAATTCCCAACACAAAGGGTAGATAACAATGTTTTAATTATTTGTATCTAAAATTTTTTTGTTTTTAAAATTCACTTAATTACGTTTATATTTAAATATGAAAAAAAAATTTATTTATAGAAATGAATATTTCATTCGCACACGACACTTGTTTTTGAACTTTGTCAAGGTCGGATTTTTAATAATTTTTTATTTTCATACCAACCAAGTATGTAGTGTTAAATATTCATAAAGTGAATGTTTATATTATTCTTCGGTAAATTTTTAGAAAAATTCTTTTCTAAATTCTTTAATTAAGAAAACATTTTATTACATTCTCATCAAAAATGAGAAAGTCTTGGATTTGTGCGATTTTGAGCAATGTCTAATTTTGCTAAATCTTTACGTTTCATGACCCCCTGACTCCAAAAAAATGGTTTTTAGAAAAGTGTCTGTCCGTCTGTCTGTCTGTCTGTCTGTCTGTCTGTAGAAAAATTTGTCGCCACGATAACTCGAATAAATTTTTATGAATCGTCTTGCAATTTGGCACACTTTTTTAGTCCATAAAAATGAAGCCTGAGTTCGTTGGGCAGCCCATTTCGTCAAAAAACAACAAAAATACAAAATTTTGAAATTTTCAAAATTTTGTATTTTTTACAATTTTCAAAAAAATATTTTTTTTAAATTTTTTCCTTAAATTTGGTGCAAAAACAAACAACTTTTCCCTTAAACACTTTTCAGTACAACAAAAAACAAAAAAGTTATGAATTTTTTAATTTTTTAAAAATTTGCTATTTATTGCTTTTTTTGGACTTTTTGTCAGCCTTCTCTTCAGTAGAAAATTTGTCATATTGGGGCCGTGTTAATAAAAATTAGTTCACATTATGCCAATACACCTTTCTTAACATTAGAATCGACAATTGCATCTTTTACACAATTTAAAAAAAATTCTTTCCAAAAAAGTGCAAAAAATTGAGATTTATAGTGAGTGAAGCATTAGCCGAAACATGAGAAAACATTAAAAACATATCGAAACCTTCCTTTTTTTCTTTTAGATGCCAAAATTAGGTAAAAATACAAAATTAGGAACAAAAAAGAACTCAAAAGTTTCAAAAATTCTGCCTTTTTTTGATTTTTTCCATAAAATTTGTTTTTACATTCTCATCAAAAATGAGAAAGTCTTGGATTTGTGCGATTTTGAGCAATGTCTAATTTTGCTAAATCTTTACGTTTCATGACCCCCTGACTCCAAAAAAATGGTTTTTAGAAAAGTGTCTGTCCGTCTGTCTGTCTGTCTGTCTGTCTGTCTGTAGAAAAATTTGTCGCCACGATAACTCGAATAAATTTTTATGAATCGTCTTGCAATTTGGCACACTTTTTTAGTCCATAAAAATGAAGCCTGAGTTCGTTGGGCAGCCCATTTCGTCAAAAAACAACAAAAATACAAAATTTTGAAATTTTCAAAATTTTGTATTTTTTACAATTTTCAAAAAAATATTTTTTTTAAATTTTTTCCTTAAATTTGGTGCAAAAACAAACAACTTTTCCCTTAAACACTTTTCAGTACAACAAAAAACAAAAAAGTTATGAATTTTTTAATTTTTTTTTTTTTTTTAAGTCTTTGGGCCAGGTATATTTTTTAAGTTTTTGGGCCAGATTTAGCCAAACGGTTTATCTAGAACTAAAAAATTTTATTTTGATATCAAAATATTTTTTTTGTCTCTCAACATTGTTTAGAAATATTGCTTTACATATTACTCAGAAATTTTTTTTTAAAGCTATTAAAAATTTAATTTTTTAGTATTTCTAAATTAAACAAATTTTTTTTTGAGTTCTGGTTAACCGATATAAAATTCGAAATATGATTTTTTCATTTTTAATTGCACTATTTGAATATATTTTTTGTTTTTAATCATTTTTACATTATTATCACATGAGAAAGTATTAGTTTTGGTCGAAAATTGACTTTCGCTAATTTCTTGAAATCTCGACGTTTTGGAGTCCCCTGAGTCTGTTAAACATGGTCTAAAAAAAGTGTCTGTCCGTATGTCTGTCTTCGTGTCTGTCTGTAGACACAATGGTGTCCCTACGATAACTCTTGAAAAACTTATTGCATCAACTTGCAACTTTGCATGCACAAAGTTACTGTTAAAATACAGATCGAGTTCGTTAGCCAGCCATTTTCGTCGAAAACTACACAAACTACAGTAGTTTCAAAATTTTGAAAATTCAATTTTTTCAAATTTCAATATTTTTAATTTTATATTACTTTCGATTAGAAAAATACAAACAACTTTTCTCTACAACATTTTTTCATAGAAACTTAATTTTTTTTAAGTTTTTGGGTCAGGCGAGGTCAACTGGGTTAAACAAATTTTATTGGTTTTCTAAAATGTTATAACTAAAATATATTCATAAAAGATATAACATTTTAGAAAATCAATGAAATTTTTTTAATACAGTTGTGCTGGTGTGACCCCTTTTTACATTTCAATTTTTGGTCCTATCTTGTTGGAAATGGTTTTTTACATTCTCATCACATGAGAAAGTAATATACCAGAGTAACTTTTCTAGGAGATAAACACTTAATTAAAACAAAAATGTCTGAGTAAATAAACAAAGAGTGAAAAGTTAGTCATTACGCTCCGGTCTACACTATACAAAAAATTTGATACTAATTCTTCAAAAATATTTTAGCTGCTTCTGCAAATCATGTTTTTACTAAGAGAGTTAGTATAATTAAAAATAATTTTACAATTTTAATCATCAAGACCAAAATATACATTTAAATTCACTTAATATCGCAATCATCAGCAAACTAAAACATGTGATGAGAATGTAATCCTTAAAGTCGTAGTAACTTTAAGAAAAAAAAACTGTTTTATGAAACATATAATAGGAAACAAGAACATTAATAATGCACAACAATTGCAAACCCCGGCGAGCGAAGCGAGCCATTTGCGCGCGAAGCGCGCAACAACACACGGAGCGCGAAGCGCGACGTGCGAAATAATCGCCGGAGCGCGAAGCGCGACGATCAATAATCGCGCGCCCCGAGGCGCGCTGAAACTTGCGAGCGAAGCGAGCCCCCGCGCGAAGCGCGGATGAGAATGTGTCCGCGCTTGCGCGGACAGATTTTTTCGAATTATTTTTATTATATTTATTTATATAATTATATTTATAAACAAATCCATAAATGATATAAACAAAAGATGTTTAAATTAATTTGTTTAATTTATTAATTAATTATTTAATTAATTTATTAGGCTTAAAGCAGTAATGGCCTGAAGTCACTAAGCCAAACAAATTAATTTAAACATCTTTTACCTATATAATAATAATAATAATAATTATTATTATTATTATTATTATTATTATATGCGATGTATACGTAATACGTAATGTTTATAATTTCCAGACTGTCAATGAAAATTCATTGAAGCAATTGAGTTCAATTTTAGAATCCCTACAGCAGCGGAGGGCAATTAGGCCAACAATTTTACCATTTTACCTACGATCAAGGGACGAAAAAGAATCGAAAGCGGGAAATTTTACTCTCGTCAAAATTCAATTGAACGAAAAGGATTTGAGAAAAACGATTCTCTCTATTTTGAAGACATGCAATTTGCCAACGACATTTATTGATAAATTGGAAGAGGAAAAACCAATTTCCCCAAAAACAGCAAATTTTTCACAATTTAGAGGTAGAGATGGTGAAATAAATTTTGCCGATTTAGAAGATGATCCAATTTTTACATCGATTATAATGAAGAGTAAAATAAATGCCGAACCGGATACTTTCAAGTAAGAGGACGGATGAAAACTTTTTTTTTTCTAATGTTCGATAAGTAAAAAAGTCTATCAGATAGCACGTAATCTTGTAGGAAGCTTGCGGTAAGCTTCCTGCAAGATTACGTGCCATTTGGGCTATAAATTTGTTTTAAGGCTCAATTTCCCTTGTAATGTTACGGAAAAGACAGCCTTAGGAGCAATATAGACTTTTCATCTACTTTTCGGATCGAATTTTGATTATATTTTTCATTTACTATCAACAGGGCTTATTTGGATAAACATGTGAATATCGCTCACGTGAAATTCGAAGCATGTAGGCCAATTCGAGAGGAGGTGAAGAAACTAGAATCGAAATTGTGCGATGACCTTGAACTCGAGAGCATAACATGGGATTGCGGCTGGAATATAACGCACTATCGAGGCTGCCTTTTGGCTTTTCATGCACTCGCGAAACATCATCCGGAACCCATGAAAATTCTCAAGGGTCGTAAAATTGTCTTTGCCAATGACACTGGAATAAGTGTCGAGGGAAATGTTATGCTCAATTCAGGCGAAGTTCGTCACAATTGGTTGGATGTAAGAATTTATTAATTATTCCCTAATGGTTCACTCCTACTTTCCACTCTCACTTCCCACAACCTAGGTTTATCCTATGGACGTTCTGGAAATATAACCATTTTGTGTCCATGGAATAATCTTAGGGATCTAGGATCGTGGGCTCCTAGGAAGTCCATGGGACTGTTCACCCAGGATGTTCACGGAATAGATTCCATTGGAATAGATAACCATTGGCTAATCGTTATTCCCAGAACGTCCATAGTCCATAATCTTAGGCACCTAGGATCTTAGAAATCTAGGATCAGAGGAACCAAAGATCGTAGGCACCCAGGTTAATCATGGAACATATTCTAATTTTCCTGGGTCCATGAGTCTAATAACCATGAGAAAATGGTTTACTCCCAGAACGCCCCTAGAAATTTAATTCTGAATATCCATTAGGCTGTTAGTGGTCCACTGTCTTTGTAGAAATTAAGGGACCCTTAAATAAGCAATACAAAGAAAATTGTTGAAGATCGAAATTTTGTTTTCAGCTGATCAAAAATGTAAGAAAGCATGACGCTGTACTTCTGCGACTGCCGGCCTTTGAGAAAGCAGTTTCGAGGGTGTTACTGGACATAAAAGTGGGTCGACGGTGCGTAAGATAAATAAATTTTTAGCATGACCGTGAGGTTCAGGATACTCTATATGTGCAGGAAGTTCATGCCGAAAGTAATGGTCGGCCAGTATGAACATCAACTGAGACAGCTGACAACAACGCTCTCCGATTACAGAGGAAGAAGAAGCTATCCGAGTGCATGGCCTTCGAATTTGTCAGCCTATGAAATCGTCGTTGAGACGTGAGTTTATTCTTGAGTAACCATTTTCCTTGGGTCAGATTATTCTCTCTTGAATCTTCTCTCCTGAATCTTCTCCTTGAATCCTCACTCCTGAATCTTCTCTCTTGAACCTTTTCTCCTGAATCTTCTCTCCTAAATCTTCAATCCTCAATTTTCTCTATTGGATTTTCTGACTTGATTCAGAATCCTTGAAAATTTGAAGAAAAGGTAGATTTTTATTAGGAGTAATTTTTATTACGCTTTACCTAAAAATTGAACAGTTTTTCACCGTTTTCAGTGAAGCGGGTCCTCTGATGCTTTCACCAACGGGTCAATTCATCGTCCCTTCATCGTGTCCAAGCTTCTTGCTAGTGAGCTTCATCAGTGAAAACTTAGAAGAGGCCATAAAGCGTCTGCATCATTATAATAAGTAAGTTCCTCTAGTTGGCATATTAGGGAAAGTTGTTACTCACCCAGTGACCCAGAACATTGGATTTCCTTAGAACGTCTTTAGGAAACGACGACCCTTTAGCATATCCCCATCCAGACGTCCTAAAAACATCTTGTGTCCAAAAAATCTTCTTCAGAGCAAAAGATTTCTTAAGGACTTTCCTTCAAATTTCCTTCAACAATCAAAACAAATCCTTAAGTGTTTAGGACTAAAGGATGTGTTTGTGATCCTGGATAAAGGATGTGATCCTTAAGGATATGTTTTGAACGAACGTTGACGTCCTAAACACCTAAATCCTTAAGACATCCAAAATTATGTTTGCCCATTTTTTTTAAGTATTCTAAAGTTCCAATTTTCATTACAGCATAAAACATGTTGAACGTGAACTGCACAGAAGAGCAATTGAAGATTTAGGCTTGGCCGCATTAAATAAAGACGATAGCATAACTCCCGATCTCATGATAAAATGCTGTGAACGATTACTATTGCACAAAGAAATATTAGCGCCTAATTTGCAAGGTGTCATGCTCTGGGTGACACATTACTATTCGGTAATGAGCGACGGTGTTCTTTGTGTGCCATGGGACTGGAAATTATAATCAGAACCTAATTTATTCCTCCTTTGTTCTTGTCAATCAACGAAAATATCATACATAGTCAATTTTTGGTAAAATTATAAAAAATTTTTAATTTAGAATCAATTCAATAATATAGAGAGTAAGAATATATTCTGTTACCACAAAAGAATACGTACCTGTAATAATTGTATTTTTGAATACAACGGATGAAAAAATTTAGTAAATAACTCAGGAACAACTCAAAGGTAATTTAATCATAAATATAAAAGAAGAAACTTATACTTTACAAAAAATGTTTTGTTTCTTTAATACAAAACACATTAGTTTTGATTTGACTAGCGATTTTCTAATTATAGAAAATAATTAAACAAAATTTTCTACATGAATTGTACATAGTAGAATGTAAAACATAGAGATTAAAAAATTGTTTTTGTTTACATTTTTTTTTTTGTATAATTTGAGACAATAAAACTAAAAATACGATTAAGTTGTTAAGAAATGTTTGTATCAAACTTGGTTCAAATAAATAGTTTATTAAATATTTCGTCTGTTTATTAATTGCACATTTTCTAGATCCCTATGAAAACTGTGTCCATTACTCGGTTCGTTATGATGAAAACTATTTTAGGGAAAATATATTAATATAAATAGTCGAATTTATTTATTTTCAATTTTATTCGAATAGGAAATATTTTCAAAAATTGAACAATAAGAGCAAGACATAAATTATTAGACAATCTTTTAATTTTAATAGATTTAGTTTAATACTTGCATCAAGGCGTACAATTATGTAATAATGTGAACATTGAGGATACTATCATAAAATACAAAGGAATTTTACATTCACACTAAAACGCACCTCTTCTTTGAAATAAAATTAATGAAAGTATAAATATGGGTAAAAAAATAGCACTATTCCTTCGGTACCACGGTATTTTTGACAAAGATGTGTGAGGCAACGCTGTAGCATTAGCAGAATTTTGAGTAGTATTCCTTATTGTTGTAGTTTCCGTTGAATTTGTAACTAAATTGTCCTGTATCACACCAGATGATGCTGCTTCACCTAATTTTGCAAAATTTTTTGAAATTGTTGTTGTTATTTCTAATGGAGTGTTAGTCTCCATTAGGGTGGAGTTTGACTCTGATGATAAAGGAGGCAATGATATGGTTGTTAATGATTTTTGTTTTGGTACTTCTGTTGATGCTGTTGCCAAAGCTTCACTTGTTGACAACAAATCTTCTCCAGTCGCGTCTGGAGGCGTTAATATTTGTGATAATTGTACTATTGTTTCTGTAATTTCAAAAGAAGATTTCGGTGTTACAATTGTAATAGAAGAGTTTTGGGTAGTATCCGTTATTGTTGAAGTTTGCGTTGAATTTGTTCCTACATTGTCCTGTATCACATCAGATGATGCTACTTCACCTAATTTTGCAAGATTTTCTGAAGTTGTTGGTATTTCTGGTGGAGTATTAGAATCCAATTGCGTTGCGTTTTTCTCTGCAGATAAAGGAGTCGATGATATATTTGTTAGTGATTCTTGTTTCTTTACTTCTATTGATGCTGTTGTTTTCCCTTTTGCCACAGCGTCACTTGTTGACAATAATCCTGCTTCAGTCTCTTCTAAAGGCGTTGATATTGGTGGTACTTTTGCTATTGTTTCTGTAATTCCAGAAGGAGATTTTGGTGTAATTGTAGTAGAAGAGTTTTGAGTAGTAACCGTTATTGTTGTAGTTTCCGTTGAATTTGTAACTAGATTGTCCGGTATCAAACCTGGTGATGCTACTTCACCTAATTTTGTAGGATTTTTTGAAATTGTTGTTGTTATTTCTGATGGAGTACTAGACTCCATTAGGGAAGCGTTTGATTCTGATAATATAGAAGGCGATAATACAGCAATCAATGAAGCTTGTTTTGCTACTTCTGTTGATGTTGTTGTTTCCCCTGTTGTCAAAGCTTCACTTGTTGACAACAAATCTTCTCCAGTCGCGTCTGGAGGCAGTAATATTTGTGGTAATTGTACTGTTGTTTCTGTAATTTCAGAAGAAGATTTCGTTGTTACAATTGTAGTAGAAGAGTTTTGGGTAGTATCCGTTAATTTTGTAGTTTCCGTTGAATTTGTTACTACATTGTCCTGTATCATATCAGATGATGCTACTTCACCTAATATTGCAAGATTTTCTGAAGTTGTTGGTATTTCTGGTGGAGTATTAGAATCCAATTGCGTTGCGTTTTTCTCTGCAGATAAAGGAGTCGATGATATATTTGTTAATGATTCTTGTTTCTTTACTTCTATTGATGCTGTTGTTTTCCCTTTTGCCACAGCGTCACTTGTTGACAATAATCCTGCTTCAGTCTCTTCTAAAGGCGTTGATATTGGTGGTACTTTTGCTATTGTTTCTGTAATTCCAGAAGGAGATTTTGGTGTAATTGTAGTAGAAGAGTTTTGAGTAGTAACCGTTATTGTTGAAGTTTGCGTTGAATTTGTTACTACATTGTCCTGTATCACATCAGATGATGCTACTTCACCTAATTTTGCAAGATTTTCTGAAGTTGTTGGTATTTCTGGTGGAGTATTAGAATCCAATTGCGTTGCGTTTTTCTCTGCAGATAAAGGAGTCGATGATATATTTGTTAATGATTCTTGTTTCTTTACTTCTATTGATGCTGTTGTTTTCCCTTTTGCCAAAGCTTCACTTGTTGATAACAAATCTTCTCCATTCGCTTCTGGAGGCAGTAATATTTGTGGTAATTGTACTGTTGTTTCTGTAATTCCAGAAGGAGATTTTGGTGTAATTGTAGTAGAAGAGTTTTGAGTAGTATCTGTTATTGTTGAAGTTTCCGTTGAATTTGTTACTACATTGTCCTGTGTCACATCAGATGATGCTACTTCACCTAATTTTGCAAGATTTTCTGAAGTTGTTGGTATTTCTGGTGGAGTATTAGAATCCAATTGCGTTGCGTTTTTCTCTGCAGATAAAGGAGTCGATGATATATTTGTTAATGATTCTTGTTTCTTTACTTCTATTGATGCTGTTGTTTTCCCTTTTGCCAAAGCTTCACTTGTTGATAACAAATCTTCTCCATTCGCTTCTGGAGGCAGTAATATTTGTGGTAATTGTACTGTTGTTTCTGTAATTCCAGAAGGAGATTTTGGTGTAATTGTAGTAGAAGAGTTTTGAGTAGTATCTGTTATTGTTGAAGTTTCCGTTGAATTTGTTACTACATTGTCCTGTGTCACATCAGATGATGCTACTTCACCTAATTTTGCAAGATTTTCTGAAGTTGTTGGTATTTCTGGTGGAGTATTAGAATCCAATTGCGTTGCGTTTTTCTCTGCAGATAAAGGAGTCGATGATATATTTGTTAATGATTCTTGTTTCTTTACTTCTATTGATGCTGTTGTTTTCCCTTTTGCCACAGCGTCACTTGTTGACAATAATCCTGCTTCAGTCTCTTCTAAAGGCGTTGATATTGGTGGTACTTTTGCTATTGTTTCTGTAATTTCAAAAGAAGATTTCGGTGTAATTGTAGTAGAAGAGTTTTGAGTAGTAACCGTTATTGTTGTAGTTTCCGTTGAATTTGTAACTAGATTGTCCGGTATCAAACCTGGTGATGCTACTTCACCTAATTTTGTAGGATTTTTTGAAATTGTTGTTGTTATTTCTGATGGAGTACTAGACTCCATTAGGGAAGCGTTTGATTCTGATAATATAGAAGGCGATAATACAGCAATCAATGAAGCTTGTTTTGCTACTTCTGTTGATGTTGTTGTTTCCCCTGTTGCCAAAGCTTCACTTGTTGATAACAAATCTTCTCCATTCGCTTCTGGAGGCAGTAATATTTGTGGTAATTGTACTGTTGTTTCTGTAATTTCAGAAGAAGATTTCGTTGTTACAATTGTAGTAGAAGAGTTTTGGGTAGTATCCGTTAATTTTGTAGTTTCCGTTGAATTTGTTACTACATTGTCCTGTATCACATCAGATGATGCTACTTCACCTAATTTTGCAAGATTTTCTGAAGTTGTTGGTATTTCTGGTGGAGTATTAGAATCCAATTGCGTTGCGTTTTTCTCTGCAGATAAAGGAGTCAATGATATATTTGTTAATGATTCTTGTTTCTTTACTTCTATTGATGCTGTTGTTTTCCCTTTTGCCACAGCGTCACTTGTTGACAATAATCCTGCTTCAGTCTCTTCTAAAGGCGTTGATATTGGTGGTACTTTTGCTATTGTTTCTGTAATTTCAAAAGAAGATTTCGGTGTTACAATTGTAATAGAAGAGTTTTGGGTAGTATCCGTTATTGTTGAAGTTTGCGTTGAATTTGTTCCTACATTGTCCTGTATCACATCAGATGATGCTATTTCACCTAATTTTGCAGGATTTTCTGAAGTTGTTGTTGGTATTTTTGACTCTGAAGATAAAGGAGACAATGATAGAGTTGTTATTGTAGCTTGTTTTGGTACTTCTGTTGAAGTTGTTGTTTCCGCTTTTAAAGGCGTTAATATTTGTAGTACTGGTGATAATGTGACTTCCACTTCTGAAGAAGATGTCAGTTTAGTTGTCTCCGGTTCGACTGACATTGCACTTATTGTAGTTGTTACAATTTCTTGGGTTGTAGTTTCTGGTGGCTCTGTTCCGAAATTTTGCCAAACATTCGGAATATCATCAGTGTAATTTTCTTTTCTTAAGGAACGAACATAATTATTTAAGTGATAATGGTATAGAGGATTGTCCTGTAAACTTTTGTTATGAAGAGTATTGAAATTCTCCAGTTGTTTAATATTCTCTTTTAAAAGTTTCTCATCCATATCATCAGCATCTACCAGGCCCAGTTTCGTTAGTAAGAGAATTTGCCTGTCTACAAGCTGACCTGTTAGAACTTGACGTATATTCTTTCCGTCAATGAACAAACGAGGAGATTCTGCATGAAATAAATGTAATTTGTCATTAATTTCAAATGATTTCTCTATTGTAAGTGGTTTTTTTGGGTTTTCTTTGGCTAATAGCGAAAAATTAAAGCGAATTTCATTGTTTCTTTGCAACTTTACAGCAAAATATGGTTTACGTTTATGAAATGAATAATGTGGTTTTCTGTTTTTCAGTTTAAAAGACATAATACGTTTGTTATAATCTATATCTATTACTAAAAAAGGTACGTTGTTATAACCTTTAGCAGTAATAGTAAATTTGTCCTTAAAGTTTGGTTCGGGATAAGCAATGTGCCGAAACACATTCTCTGCAAAGACAAAAGTACGCCAAGGTGTTATTAGATCATTTAATTTTCTTCCATTGATAATCACGTTTTCCGGTTTATTATAATCAATAAATAGTCTGTCATTCATTTCAAATGTATATGTTTTAGTACCAGTTATTTTATTACTGCTTTTACTAAGAACATAAGAAAAAATATTCTTAGAATCTCTTCTTAATTGAATACTTAATTTATTGTTTTGAAAATTATTAGAGAGTTGTAAAAAGGAAATTGTCTTATCTTTGTAGTTTATGATAACATTTAGAAGTGGTTTGCCATCACCGTCATTAACATTGATGGAGGAATGTATCAGAGGGGAAGATATGTCATTTTCCTTTATTTCTTTCACATGGATGGTGATTGTTGAATCATTGGTTGCGATCACATGATGTCTCACGTCACTGATGTAAGACTTTTCTGCAATATACACAGAGTAAACATCCCTTGGCAAGGTTAATGCAAACGATTCCGTACCAATTGTGTGAGCTTTATTATTCAAATAGAACGAAATTCCTCTCATTGGCTCAGTGAATGGAGAAATAATAAATTTAACCCCTACAGGCTTCTCCTCGACTTTGGAAAACAATGTCAAAGCAGAGGTTTGCTTAAAACCTCGCTTCTCAATCATGTTACTCCAATCAGTGGAGGATAAATTAAAATCCAAGGCAGGCATCACGGAACGTCCAGTCACTAATAACAGTTCTAAATCTGCATTTATTAACGGTTCCACATAACTCTTAAAATCGATTACCTTCTCCAAGTAAGGGAATATGTTTACCTGATGCATTTCTAGGAACAAGTTGACAAGAATAGGAATTATGTTTACTTTACCTTCGAAATTAGACTTTTCGCTAGCATGTCTCTTGTGGAATTCTTCAAGTATTCTATCATCACCACCGTATTCAAAAAGACTGAGAAAAAAGTGCAATTTTTCCTCACTGCTCCATTTGTCAATAACATCACTACTTTGATACCGTTTCACGACAGTTTCATGTTCCGAATTTAAAGTTGTCATCGAATATATTTCTTCGCCGTTGGTTCGTTGAAAGAGAACAGCAAACATCATGCTCCAGACGTCGGAAACTTTTCCAAAACCAATAAGATTGTCATCAATTTGATAGTAGTGTCCAAATTCAGTCAATAACATCCAAGTTGATTTGCCAGAGGGTTGCAGCCAATCTAAAATGTCACCAATTCGTATTAATTGATTACTGTGTCTTGGTTTCTTGCATGTTCCCTCCGGACATGTGTTCATCAAAAACAAAATCGTACGTTCCTCGGGGGAAATTGTTCTTGAGTTACACAAACCTCTTTCAGTGCCAACACCAAACAGGGAATCATAATACTTGAGGACTTTCTTCTGATTCAATAGTCCATCGTTCAGACTGTAGTTTTCTTTCTTGATGGTCGTGATCTCTTCGGATGACAACAACATTTGGGTGTAAGTGTTTTCAACAAATCCGTATAGTTGCAAATCTTTGTAAAAAGCAGACTCCGTTTCTTTTGAAGTAACATCATTAGATTTGAAAACAGGCAGTTCGATCCAAGATTTAGTCTTGATTGTCACAGTTACCTTTCTGTTGTATGAATCGGAGATCATAGGAACGCAATCAAAATTTGTCTTGATTGATTTTCCTTTTTTCTCTTTGAGTTTGATTGCAATATATTCTCCCATTGGTGATTGGGAGAGACAGAAGAACATTAAATCATCAACATTCGCTGAAAGCGTTATTGTTATGTCGGTACCACTTTTAACAATTATGCCAAAGTGAGTTTTATGATGATAAATTCGATCATACCAGGAGATCATTCGACAGGTTTCTTTGCAATATGTTTTACCACAGTTTTGAAGAGTTGCATCAATGGAAACTTTCTTCTCCTAAAACAAGGTGAAATGGAACCTACCTATGAAGGTATCTTAATAGTTCAAGAGTCTTCAAAAAAGTATTTTAAAGTATTTTAAATTACTTTAAAGTATTTTAAATTACTTTAAAATATTTTAAAGTATAATAATAGTACTGTTAAGTATTTTGAAGAACTTTAAAGTGTTTTAAACTACTTTACAATATTTTTAAGTATTTTAAGGTACGTTAAAGTATTTTAAAAAGTGCTAAAGTATTTTTAAGTATTTAAAGTCTTTGAAGTATTTTAACCTCGACAGGGCCGGGGTGGCCACTATAGTGGCCACCATTAATTTTCACTACTATTTTCATCGAATTGACTTTTTATTTAATTTTACTTAATAAAAAACTAGTAAAATTTTTAAAAATTTTCCGGCCCTCTAAAGGTAATAATAATACTTAATAGTATTTTAAAGTACTTTGAAGTATTGCAAAGTATTATTTTCTTATTATTTATCTTATATTATTCATTAATAATTAATCATTATTTTCTATTTATTCTCATTTATATAACAAGAAAAAAAATTTCTAAAACTCACAGACTCTTTCCATTCTATATTATCGCTGGCCACTGCCATATGCAAAAATATCCAAACAATATTGAAAAATAGTGACATTTTTTCATATACTAGCTTTCAACAATGTTTTTCTTATTTCTTAATTTTTATTTTAACAGTTTCACTTTGAGTTGACTAAAAAGTAGCACCAGGAGAATTTTAAAATTGTGAATTATAAATATTTGAGAAAAAACGCCATTGAATTGAAAAAATCACAATTAGAAACAATATAGAAATTATTCAATTTATTTTTCATATTACATCCATACTGTCTATATTTCTACTTTTTGTAATCACGTATACAATAAATTCTGTTGTCGAGAGATATAAATTTTAGTATCATTTTACGTTACATTTTTAAAATAAGAAAATTTTACGTTCGAGTTGAATTCTCGAAAATAGTTTGAAAAAATTGAAACAATTAGAAATTTTGACAAATTTAAATTGAAATTAATTTTATATTTTAAATTTTATTATTTGACCTTCAACAAAGTATTTAACTTATTTTTAATCCTATTTTTGATGCGAATTCTAACTGAAAATTTGGGAAATAGTTGAATTTCCCAAAAATTTAGAATTGAACTTATTACTATTAATACACAATTTTAGTAATTTATTTTTAAAAAAGAATTTTTAAAAATGTTTACTTTTAAATGTTAATATTTTCACTTTCAAAATACTCAAAAATCCTTTTCATTGACAATAATTGACGTAATTTTTTTTCAAAAGCCTGCAAAAATGACGTAAGTGAATATATCTACTCGTTTTTGTTTCATATTTCCATAGTTTTATAAATTAATTTTTAACCTCTGCTTAACCATTTGGCATCAAAATTTTTCACAATTTTCACTTTTGATTTCAAAATTAATTTCCCGGTGATAAATTTTAATTTTTAAATTCAACCATCTTTTCAATATGAGAGAAATGATTCATGTTCAGATAGGTCAATGCGGAAATAGCATTGGATCAAAGGTAATTTAAAAAAAATATATTATTCAACTAACCTTGATATTTGACATTTTTAAAATAAAAAAAAAATTTTTTTCATTATTTAATTTTACATGAATATTTTATTGATAATTTTTAGTTTTGGGAAGTACTTACCGACGAACATGGTATAAATGCTGATGGAAATTATATCGGAACATCCGATGTGCAATTAAAGTACATCAATGTTTTCTTCAAGCAAGGAATGGGTAAAAAAAACGTCAATTTCAAAATTTCAAAAAAGTTTTTTCCAGAGTTTTTGCAATTTTAAATTTGGGATTTTTTAAATTAAGGTGGACGATATGTTCCAAGATCGTTGAATGTTGATCTCGATCCGGGAAGTTTGGAAATGGTGAAATCTGGACCAAATGGTAGAATTTTTTCCCCCGACAGTTTTATAAGTTCCTCCAATGGTGCTGCGAATAATTTTGCAAAAGGATATTTCACCGAAGGCGCTGAATTGGCAAATGAGACGCTCGACATTATTCGACTCGAGGCGGAAAATTGTGATTTAATTCAAGGTACACAATTTTTTAATTGCTGCTATGGTAGCAGTTCAGTTTTAATAAATTTTTTTAACTGCTGCCATGGTAGCAGTTCAGTTTTAACAAACATTTTTAATTGCTGCTATGGTATCAGTTCAGTTTTAACAAATTTTTTTAAAATTGCTATCACAGTAGAAATTTAGATCTAAAAACAATTGTTTAATTGTCACCATGGTAGGAATTAAAAAAAAATTTTAATTTCCCCTCACAATTAGGATTTCAAGTGATACATTCCCTTGGAGGTGGCACTGGATCAGGAATGGGAACACGACTCATGACCCATTTGAAGGAAGACTATTCGGATAGAATAGTAAAAAGTTATTCCGTGATTCCCTCGCCAAAAGTGTCGAATACCATTGTCGAGCCTTACAATGCAATTTTAACTCTGAGCCTCTTGACGGAAATAACTGACGAGACATTTTGTATTGATAACGACGCACTCTATCATATACTCACAAAGAATATGGAAATCGTATCGCCAACATATCCCGATATGAATCATTTAATATCCAATTGCATTGCTGGAATTACCGCAAGTCTCAGATTTCCAGGACAATTGAATATGGACCTAAGGAAGTTATTAGTGAATATGGTTCCATTTCCGAAATTACATTTCTTTGTTCCTGGATTTGTACCCCTAATGACGCGTAATGCAGGCTCTTATCGAATGGAAACAGCTTCGGAATTGACGCGACAAATATTCGAGGCAAATAATATGCTTGCATTTTGTGATCCACAGAAGGGACGGTTTATAACAGTTGGCATCATTTTTCGTGGTAATCTCTCTTCAAAGGTAAAGAAAAAATTTAATCACTAGTTTTGTAACCGTTGGTTTTACTATAGAGGGAACCCTCTGGGTCAAGGAATCGTCTTTGTTCTAGAAACGTTCCTAAAACTTTTTTAGAACGTTTTAGGAACGTCATGTCTGCTACATAATGTCTTAAGAACGTCCACTGTTCTAAAAACGTTTCCAGAACATAAAACGTTTTTAAGACGTTATGAGGAGGACACGAAACGTTCTAAAAAAGTTTTAGGAACGTTTCTAGAACAAAGACGTAGGCCCACAGGGAAGCTGATGATTTTCACCACAAATAAACGATTAATTTCCCCTAACACTCTTTTTAGGAAATAGAGGAAGAAATATGCAAAATTCGATTCAAGACAAGTTCGTGTTTCATGAATTGGCTACCAAATTCAGTGAAAGTTGCAATGTGTGATATTCCACCCCGGGGTTTGAATTCGAGTGCAACTGCAATTATAAACTCGACTGCAATTCAAGAAGTATTTCGAAGAGTCGATAATTCTTTCACGAGAATGTTCCAAAAGAGAGCCTACCTACATTGGTATTTAGGAGAAGGAATACATGAGGACGATTTTATTGAGGCACAGAATAAAATTCAGGAACTAATATTCGAGTACCAACAGCATCAGGAAGGTGGGACGAATTTCGGAGATCTTGACGAAGACGACGAGGAAGAAAGCAATCAAAATGATAATGAGAATGATGAAGATGATAATGACGATGATGAACATGAATAAATTCGATGTTTCCTCATTTGCCCTGTCTCACCAATCTAATTGATCTGAAAATAAATTTTCACACAAATAAAATTCCAAGAATTCTTTATTATTTCTAAAAATGAAATACAAATGTTTGAAAAAATTAATCTTTATCGAAGTCTCAATTTGCAAACTTAATTAATTAACAAATATTAAAGTTGGTATTCTGTCTGTTCTGTCTGTTCGCATTTGGAATTATCTGTTCGTAGTCTGAAGGAAAATTATTTCCCTCACATTATTTTTAGGGTAATCAGAATTCTGATGTTGTCAATTGCGCGTTTGTTTTAGCTAATTATTACTAAAGTATAAATTAAAAATTAAAATATTAAAATAGTTTAAACATTTTAGCCAATAGTATTCGTGTACTGCTGCTTCATGTACAAATTAAGTCTTTTTGGTTGATGCCCTTTGGTAGTCCGTCCTATTTCTCCAGGATAGTCCCTTGATAATAATTCCTAAAAGGACGTTTGTACGTTTTGTAATTTAGCCCAAGCATTTCTAATCACAATTCATGAACATTTCACTCTTGTTCGCATGTTTCGAAATCATCACCACCCTCCTCGACTTCAAAGTCTTCCTCAGCGGTTGCTTCCTGATACTGCTGATACTCAGAGACGAGATCATTCATGTTCGATTCAGCCTCAGTGAATTCCATTTCATCCATTCCCTCCCCGGTGTACCAATGGAGGAAAGCCTTTCTTCTAAACATCGCGGTGAATTGCTCTGAAATTCTCTTGAATAATTCCTGAATTGCGGTTGTATTTCCAATAAAAGTGGATGACATCTTAAGTCCCTTGGGTGGTATGTCGCAAACGGCTGTTTTCACATTGTTAGGTATCCATTCGACGAAATAGGAGCTGTTCTTATTTTGAACACTGAGCATCTGCTCGTCGACCTCCTTCATCGACATTCTACCTCGAAACACAGCGGCTACAGTCAAATATCTCCCATGTCTTGGATCGCAGGCCGCCATCATGTTTTTCGCATCAAACATCTGTTGGGTCAGTTCAGGCACCGAGAGAGCCGAGTACTGTTGCATTGATCTCGACGTAAGTGGTGCAAAGCCAGGCATGAAGAAATGCAATCGCGGAAATGGAACCATATTAACGGCCAATTTCCTAAGATCAGCGTTTAATTGTCCTGGAAATCGGAGACAGGTAGTGACGCCCGACATCGTTAGGGACACCAAATGATTCAAATCACCGTAGGATGGATTCGAGACCTTGAGTGTGCGGAAGCAAATGTCGTAGAGGGCTTCGTTGTCAATGCAATAGGTTTCGTCAGTGTTCTCCACGAGTTGATGAACGGATAAGGTGGCGTTGTAGGGTTCGACTACGGTATCGGAGACTTTGGGTGATGGCATGACGGAATAGGTGTTCATAATTCGATCCGGATACTCTTCACGTATCTTTGAGATGAGAAGTGTTCCCATTCCGGAACCGGTTCCACCGCCGAGGGAATGGGTCAATTGAAAACCCTGGAGGCAGTCGCAGTTTTCACATTCCTTTCGAACGACATCAAGAACTGAATCGACTAGTTCAGCTCCCTCGGTGTAGTGACCTTTGGCCCAATTGTTGCCGGCGCCTGATTGACCGAAGACAAAATTGTCGGGACGGAAGAGTTTTCCAAAGGCACCGGAGCGTACTGCGTCCATTGTTCCTGGTTCGAGATCGAGGAGGATTGCTCGGGGTACGTATTTCCCTCCACTGTGGGCTGTGGCGACTGAAAGGAAGAAGAGGTTTATTAGTGATTATATTTTGCTAGTGTGAGAATTTGGAGTCAAAGCACCAATTGGGGTAAACTCCATTTGGTGGTTTGACTCCAGATTCTTTCATGATGAGTCGGGGGAGTCTGGTAACTATCGAGGAGCCTTTCCTAGATACAAGATTTTATGTGTCATCCTAGGCAATTGAATCCCAAGATGCAAAAATCAGACATAGATCATTGAAATTAAATCGGATCCGTCTGATCCTTGCATCAAGACGCTCGATTCCTCAATTGGAATTCCCCATTGTAAACCACCTTCCAATGGCTAAAAACCATTCTTCCCATAGGAAGAGGGACGCATGATTATTCCCCAAATGTCATTTTTCCGAAATGTCATTTTACCGAACTGCACTTTTGCGAATAGTCATTTTTGCGAAAAGCCAATTTTGCGAAATGTCACTTTTGCGAATTGTCATTTTTGCGAAAAGCTATATTTGCGAAAATTCCTATAGTAAACTTGTATGCATATATAGATTCACTATAGGAATTTTCGCAAAAATGACAATTCGCAAAAATGACTTTTCGGAAATTTGACAATTCGTAAAAATGGCGATTCGCAAAAATGACAATTCGTAAAAATAACTTTTCGCAAAAATGACAATTCGCAAAAATGACTTTTCGGAAATTTGACAATTCGTAAAAATGGCGATTCGCAAAAATGACTTTTCGGAAAATTGACAATTCGTAAAAATGGCGATTCGCAAAAATGACTTTTCGGAAAATTGACAATTCGTAAAAATGGCGATTCGCAAAAATGACAATTCGTAAAATTGACAATTCGTAAAAATGGCGATTCACAAAAATGACAATTCGTAAAAATAACTTTTCGCAAAAATGACTATTCGCAAAAATGACAATTCTTAAAAATGACAATTCGTAAAAATGGCAATTCGTAAAAATGCCGATTCGCAAAAGTGACAATTCGTAAAAATGACAATTCGCAAAAATGAAAGGAAGTTTTTTTAACATCAGCATAAATTACATTGATTCAAATCTATTGCAAAACTGAGGGAAAATAATTTCTTGAAACGATCCCAACATATTAATTAGATGGTAGTGACTGGCATTCTGCCAAAATCGGCGACCATTTGATAGAAAGGCGGAAATACGTGCAAGAATCGTGACCTCATACTTGTGTCTTGTACAAATTAGAAATGAACATCAAAATTAAAACTTATCGATTGAAAGTAAGTTTTGAAATTATTTTTAATTTCTGAATATAAAAATTTGAAAATAAAATTTGAAAATGAAATTTGAAAACGAAATTTGAAAACAAAATTTGAAAATGAAATTTATAAATAAAACTTTGTAAATTTAAATTCGAAATTCGAATTCAATTCGAAGTTGTATATGACAATTTTATCACCAAAAAAAATTTTAAAGGAACTATAGTTCTTTTTATGTGAAATATGTGATATTCAGTGTCAATAATCTTCGTTTAGACAAATGTATTTCTATTTCTGGTGCAAAAAAAAAAAAATTGTCTCGTCTTTTTTTAACACTTATATCCTCTTGCCCTCTGCGACAAGTTTAAAATTTCTATTCTTAAATTGAAAATTTCAAAGAAACGAAAGAACGAACACACACAGCAAAATGGAAAAAATTAAGTATAACCATAAAACATACTTGTGAGTTCTGAACTTCAATTTGTTTCGGCAAAATATTTTTCAGAGATAAATTAATTTTCATTTCTATTAATAGTAATCGATATTAAATTCTCTATAAATTTTTTTAATTCACCCACAAACAAAATCTAGAAAATTTATAATTTTCTTCTCGCAGTTTTCTTAAAAGTATCAAATTGATACTACGAATTTGAATCAATTTATAATTTTATCCACATTCTTAGTATCGATTCATTACTATTTGATACTTTTAAACTAATTGACTTAAAAAGTATCAAATAGTGTCTGGAACTGTAAAATTATTTTTAATTTCGTTAATTTTTTTTTTTTTTTTTTTAATCTGCAAACAAAGAGGAGTTGCATTCTAAAAGTCCCCGAAATTTTAATACTTGCGACGAATTAATTTCAATTGATCCAACTTACCAGAAGCCTCATTGTAATAAACAGATATTCTTTCGAGTTGCAGGTCACTGTCTCCGTGATAGATTCCAACTGGGTCAATACCATGTTCCTCTGAGATCACTTCCCAAAACTTAAACAGAAAAAAGAATTGTTTATTTAAAAAAAAATCCTCCGGAAATTTCTCAAGTACTCTAAACACTCCTGATTGTTTTCCTAAACCAAAATTTGAAGCACTATAACAAAAATTTACAATTTCTTTTCTTATTTTTAAACATCAAAATTTTAATTAAAATAAATTAATAAAAATGAAAATTAATACTCTAATTGCAAAGAAAAATTTAATTCAAACGTTAAAATTTGGAACCAATTTCAAATTTGAAAAATTTAATTCGAACGTTAAAATTTGGAACCAATTTCAAATTTGAAAAATAGAATTCGAAAGATTAAAATTTGGAAAGAGGAGACAAACTTTTTTAAAGATTTAATTAAAATTTATTTCTCTTAGAGGGAGAAAAAATTGGTCTCCTAAAGAGTTTCCAAATTTAAAAATGCCGGTGGAGGACAAGGATAAGTTTTATGTATATATTTAAATGGAGTCTGAAAATAGTGGGCTCACTGAATTAACTTGCTCCTGTACGTCCGACTACCCTCAGAATTTTTCTACTCCATTTGTTTCGCTTTTACTATTTTCTCCGCACGACAAAAATAACTACCATATATTCCTCGACTAAAGATGCACCCAAAAGACTTTTGTCGCACATTCCCAAAAGTCACATATATTTATACTCAAGATTTTCAAGAATTTTCATCAATAAAAAAGAAATTTATTGTCTACAAGAATTTTCATCAATAAAAAAAGAAATTTATTTCCAGCCCAAAAAGAATTTTCATCAATAAAAAAGAAATTTATTGGCTACAAGAATTTTCATAAAAAAAAAAAGGAAATTTATTTCCAGCCCAACAAGAATTTTCATCAATAAAAAAGAAATTTATTTCCAGCCCAACAAGAATTTTCATCAATAAAAATAAAAATTTATTGGCTACAAGAATTTTCATCAAAAAAAAAGGAAATTTATTTCCAGCCCAACAAGAATTTTCATCAATAAAAAGAAATTTATCGGCTACAAGAATTTTCATCAATAAAAAAAAAATTATTTCTAGCCCAACAAGAATTTTCATCAATTCGCTGATGAAATGTCTTCGTTTGTATTATTATTAAAAAAAATGTATTTGTAGCTCAACATAATTTTCATCAATAAAAGAGAATTCGTAGTTCAAAATAAAAAAAATATTTTTTTGTTCTCAAACATGAATTTTCATCAACAAAAGAAAATTTATTTGTAGCTCAAGAAGAATTTTCATCAATAAAAAGATATTTGTAGCCCAACAAGAATTTTCATCAATAAAATAAAATTTTCTTCGTTTGTCTTATTATTAAAAAAAATTGTTTTGTAGCCGAACGTTGTGACATGTACAACTTTGAAAATTAAACGATTCTTAAATCATTTTGAAATGACAAGAAATACAATTCACAAACGTTTAAAGTCCGATGACCCAAGGAGTGTTCCAAAATTATAGTGAAATCGAGTAGAGGGAAAAGTCTCACACACGAGCTTTGCGCCAACAAACTATTTAAAAATCTAGACGAAAAATGAGCTTTTTTCAAGAATTTTATAAAGAGCTTTTTTTAAATCACATTTTTAACAATTTTACAGCTTTTTTACAAGAGTTTTTTTTTAAATCTAGAAACAATTTTCAATTGTTTAAGTAATTCAAATTAATTTAATTAATTTAGTTAATTTTTTTCGTAATGAATTAGCGTCGAAAAATTTTTTTTTCGCATTTTATTAAATATAGGTAAAGAAGTTGATTCAAATTCTTAGTTAATTTAAATATTTTGCTGTAGAATAAAAATAACTTTTTCGATTCTCAGAAAAAAGTTAAGTTAATCGATAAAATTATTTTTATTCTCTGCAATAAAAAAATTGTTGAGGTAGAAAATGGTGGTTTAATTTCTCCACATGAGAACGCCAAGGTCGCCACCAGATGGCAGGGGAAATTCCAAGAAATAAATAAATTCCAAGAAGTGAACAGCCATCTGGCGGTGACCTTGGCGTTCGCAGGTGGAGAGTAACGTCTCCATATTGAGTCTCCAAATTTTAATCAATATTCATTCCATAAAACCTATAAATAAATATGAAAACAGTCTCAAAAAGCTTAAAAAGAAAACAAAGTCTTCAATGCGGAATATTGTTTCTTTTTCGATATAAAATAAATATATGGCTTTTGTGATGGGAAGAAAGAAAAATCAGCGTATACTGTATAACAGTGAATTTCTTTGGGTGTTGCTGGCCAATAATAATTATCAACGACCTAAAATGATTTTGCTCGCAACAAAATAAGTGATCGTTAAAGGCAGTCATGCGGAAAATCGCACCACTGTTCATCGAACGGTAAATTTCTGTATAGCTGAAGACTATAGGTACAAAAGTTTGAGTACAGACGTCTTCACTATACGAGACTTCCGTTCGATTATTATTTTACAATTTTTTTTTTATTTTTTATTTTTATCTTTTATGACTCGTTTTAGTATCGTATATTCGACATAGTACATAAATGTCGAAAAAATATTCGAAATGGTTTTCTTAAAATTGTAAATTATACTTTATATTTACGTAATTATAATTATTAAAAAAAAAAAAAAAAAAAAAAAAAAAAATTATATATATAATATAAAACATACAATAATAATTATTGTTACTAATGTTGTTATTATCATTATTATGATTAATTTTTATTATTATTATATTATCTAATATTAAAACAAAAAATATTTTAAATTATAAAAAAAAATAATTTATTATTACTTTAATAAAAAGAAGAAAAGAAAATTATTAATTCACAGGAGATGAACTTTTGACGAATCTAATTTATGTCGAATTTAACGAGTTAAATCAAGAATGTCTCATTGGTTGAAGAACAAGCGGATATATAATGTGACTCTACTATACTCTTGATTCTTAAATGCATCTCTCAAAAGTACAAGTGATAGTGTTTACTTAAAAAAAAAAATTTTTTTTAATAATTTTGACTTTTATACCTAAATATCATTATAATTATATTATAATATTTATAATTAAATATTTTATACAATATTTTTAAAAAAGAAAACTTTTAATAACTAATCGGTTTTATTTGAATCAAATATACTTTCTTTTCAGCGTGAATTTAAAAGAAAATATTAATTTTTTTTTAATTTAGAAGATTTTTATTTTAGAATTTATTTTATTTTTAATTTAGAAGATCTTTTTGTTATTAATTAAAAGGTATAAATATATCGTGATTTTTTAATAAAGGGTAATTATAATTTTGTCTTTCTTCGGAATTTTAATTAATGATGACATAAATGACAGTTGACTCATCGAATTTCTAACGAGTTAGACTTTACTTTATGTCTTCCGGTCCATGGCAATACAAAGACGTGCATTTAACGTTTCATTTTATTCACTTTTATAAAGCTGTGCACGTTTTTTTCTTTTTCGGACATTTTTTTTTCATACTTTAAATTTTTGATTCGTGCACAAACTTAATTAGATTAAAAATTAAAAACTTAAATCAGTTTAAAAATTAAAAACTTTAATTAGATTCATTACATAAAAATTTTAGTAAGATTCGATTTAATTAGACTATAAAATTATAATTACATATTAGAACTTTTAATTAGATCCAAATTATTTACATAAAAATTTCGAATTAGATTAAAATTAATTACATTAAAACTTTTAATTAGATCCAAATTACTTACATTAAAATTTTGAATTAGATTAAAACTTTTACATTAAAAAACATTTAAACTTTTAATTAGATCCAAATTATTTACATAAAAATTTTGAATTAGATTAAAATTAATTACATTAAAACTTTTACTTAGATTTAAAAATAGTCGAAAAAGTCAAAGTATCTAAAAAAATTTTTTTTTAAGTTTTCTTTTAATTACTGATGTTAATATTAATATTATTTTAATATTATAAATATAATATCGTAAAAATAATTCTACATTTTTTTGTTTGTTAAAAAAATATTCTCGAGGAAATTTTAATGACTTTTTTCCAAACGCCAGCTTGCTCTCATCACTTTTAAAAGAAGAACTAAAAGTGCAGTGTCCTTTTCGTACTCGTATATAATATTAAATTTCTAGGCACGTCTCTTTAATTTCCTTCATCCGATAAAATGATATTTTTAAAAGAATAAAATTTTATTTCCTACTTTTGTTTTTTATCTACTAAATTATTTATTTGTTTTAAATCAATTTTATTTGTTACAAGTATACATTTTATTTAGTTCAAATAAATTTTATTTGTTTCAAGAAAATTTTCTTTTGTTTCAAATAAATTTTCTTGGTTCAAATAAAAATACTATTTGTGCTAAATAAAATATTTGTTTTTAACAAATTAATAAATAATTTAGTACTTTTTGTGACATAAACACTTTCATTTGACTCAAATAAATTATTATTTAGTTTAAATAAAAAATTTCTCTAGGTGTAACAATAAAACAATTTTTTTTAACTTTTTGAACTTTTTTAAAGAAATAAATAAATTTGAAGATTTTTGAAAAAATTTGCACTAATCTTTCGGATTAAAATGAATGTCATTCGGAATATATTTACAGAAGAAACGTGTTTCGACATGTTTCAAAATTTCAACGTAGGCAAAAGGAAGCAGCTGCTTTCCAGCGGACAAATATTCACTTGAATCAAATAATTTTTATTATTAAATCAAACAAATATTTACTTGAATTAAATCATTTTTATTTAAATTAAAGAAATATTTACCTGAATCAAATAATTTTTACTTGAATCAAATAAATATTTACTTGAGTCATAAACAAATATTTACTTGAATCAAACAAATATTTACTTGAATCAAATAATCTTTATTTAAATCAAACAAATATTTACTTGAATCAAATAAATTTCATTTTGAATCAATAATTTCAGTATTTGAAGCAAATACGATTTAATATTGACTTGAGTAAAAATTATTTAATAAAAATAAATATTTTTCTTGATACTAATTACTTATTTGAATAAAATTTTCTCTCAGTGCACTTATAATTACATCATTCGATTAAATTAATGAAATTACAATTATAATCTCAACATTTTGAAGTAATTTTTAATTTTTCTTATTTTATATACACAAAGTCTCGTTAATAAAACAAACATATGACTCAATGATATATTGGCAAAAAAGAAATTGTTCTTATTGCTTTCGCAAATACAGATGTTACACATATTACTCACTATCTTATCAAAAAGAGGATATACATATATTCTATAAAATTTTTATTATTATAACGACTATATCGTCGTTCACTCTAGTTCCTCTCCATAAATTCTATTTTTATTGTTTTTCCACTTTTTCTTTATTTCCCATTTATTTTTTTTATTTCAATTTAAAAAATAGCTTATTTTTAGAAAATTTTTCTTTTATAAAATTATTTATTTAGTTCTTTTTTCTAATTTGTCGGCATTTTACATTAAAAAAGAATTTCTAAATTTAGGATTAGAGTTTTTTTCTACCTTGTCGGCTTTTTTGATTAAAAAAAAAATTCTGATAAAAAATCTTTTTTTGTTAATAATGTTGATTAAATCAATTAATTATTTTGATTTTCTTTAGTAAACTTGTTTAACTTGTACCTACCTTTTTTTAAAAATAGTTTTTTATTTTATTTTTTATTTATTTTTATAAAAATTTTTGAAAGAAAAAAAAGCTCACCTTGGCTCCAATTTGATTTCCACATTGACCGGCTTGAAGATGAACAATTTCCCTCATGTTGATGGATTTTAAATTATTTTTTTTTTTTTTTCGAGGGAGGGATGGAAAATTTTTTTTTAATAAAAATAGAAGAGAAAAATTGATTTTTCTCGATTAGAAATAAAGTTTATAATGATGGGATTCTTCCGCGAGTTTGACAGTTGCCTCGTCGCTGGGTGAATGGAGCAAGGCTTTTGTCACGTTCTTCCTTGTGGCCCTGATGGTGGTGGGCCTGTCGACGAACTCTTAGGGGAGATCACTGAAAATAAGACACATGCGCAAGTGCAGTGTGCAGCATCCTATTTCTTTACAAATAAAAAAAAATATCTATATATATATACCTCTACTATATGGCAAAAAATAAATATATTTTTACTTTATTTTAAAAAATTTTTCAAAAAATTCAGGCAATTTTCAAAAAAAAAAAAAGAAAAAACAATTTTCTACACTGGGAGAAATTATTTTTTTTGATAAAATTATACGAGATACTTATGTCTGTTATCAAATAAATATTTATTTGTTATAAATCATTTTTATTCAAATCAATTCAATATTGTATTTTAAAAAAAAATGTTAAGAATAAATGCAATTTTCTATCATTTTATTTAAAATTGTATAAAAAATAATTAAAATTCTGCGATAAGCATTTATTTATTTTCAATATATATATACACAGGCAATGCCCTTTATTACAAAATAAGCATTTGTTATTTATAAAAATAATTGAATTCTTCTAACGAATTTTATTAAAAAAAATTTTTTAATGAATTGAATTCCATTAAAAAAATTTTATTTCTGAAAATAATTTTGAATTCCACAGAGAAAAATATTACTATTTATATGAAAATAATTAATTTCTTGTGAAGAATTTTATTTTCAAATTTTTTTAAATAATTTAATTTCTCAGAATTTTTCAAAACTTCTTCATAAAAAAAAAAAATTAAATTACATCGAGAAATTTCTTTAAAAAAAAAATTGAAAATAATTGAAATCTGACGAAGAAATAAAAAAAATTTTTTTTTCAAATAATTGAATTCCTGTGAAAATGTTTGTTTTTTGAAAAGAATTGAATTCTCGGGAAGTAATTTTATTAAAATTTCCTTAAATAATTGCAATTGCTTCGAAGAATTTTATTTTTTACGAAAATAATTGAATTTTTTCGGGAGATTTTAACAAAACAATTTTGACAATAATTGAATTCCAAGGAAGAATGTTATATTTTACGAAAATAATTGTATGTAATTCTTAATTAAAAGTATGAAAAGTTCAAATTATCAGGTAATGTACTTTTGTAAAAACACAGTAAGTTCTTTTGATGATAGTTCTTTATTGGTACCATTTCTCTTGATGTTGCTGCTTCATTGATGACAGACAGTTCTTTTGATACTATTTCTGTTGATGTTGCTGATCTATTTTCAGGAAATGTGTAACTAGTTGATAACAATGTTTTTCCAGTTGGAACAACATGCTGCATTTTTTTTTTTTTTATTTTTTTTTTACTGTTGACAATATAGATCTGGATACTTTTGTTATTGGATGAGAGAACATGAATGGTAAAAGTATTCTTATCTCTAATGATGGTAAATTCTTTATTAATGGTGATTGCTTTCATTTCAGTTCTTTCTGCTATTGATGATTGTTGTTTCAGTGAACAAGGCAATGAGATTTTTTTGTCATATTCTGTTCTATAGACGTAGACTCTATTTATTGTGGCTGTGTTCCAATATTTTTCCAATCATCCGGAATATCATCAGTGTAATTCTCACTTCTTAGGGAACAAACATATTTATTTAAGTAATAATTGTAGAGATGATTGTCGTGTAAACTACGATCATGAAAATTATTGAAACTCTCCACTTGTCTAATGTTTCTTTTTAAAAGTTTCTTATTTATATCATCAGCATCTACTAGGCCCAGTTTTGTTAATAAGAGAATGTGCTTATTCACTTGCTCACCAATTAGAAATTGACGTACATTTATTCCTCCAATAAATAAACGACTTGGTTTTAGATGTAATAAATATAATTTGTCATTAATTTCAAATCTTTGATTTCTTAAAAATTGTGTTTTTGATCCTATGTTGGAAATCAAAAATCCATAGAGATATTTATTGTTTCTTCGCAAATTTACCATAAAATATGTAGGTGTTTTTGCGAAGGTATTCGTATCTTTCTTTATCCGTTTAAAAGACATAATACGTGTGTTATAATCCACATCTATTACCAGAAAGTCATTGTTACCAGAATCTTTAGCAGTAATATTAAATTTGCCATAAAGGGTGACATTAGAATAAGCAATGTGCCGAAACCCATTTTCTGTGAAGACAAAAGTACGCCACGCAGTTTTTAGATATAATAAACTTTCTCCATTGATAATCACGTTTTCCGGCTTATTATGGCGAATAAATAGTCCGTCATTCATTCTAAATGTAAATGTCTCATTACGGGCTATTTTACTATGTTTTTTATTAAGAACATAAGAAAAAATATTCTTAGAATCTCTTCTTAATTGAATACTTAATTTATTGTTTTGAAAATTATTAGAGAGTTGTAATAAGGAAATTGTCTTATCTTTGTAGTTTATTATAACATTTAGAAGTGGTTTGCCACCATCGTCATTAACATTAATGGAGGAATGTATCAGAGGGGAAGATATGTCATTATCCTCTATTTCTTTCACATGAATGGTAATTGTTGAATCATTGGTTACGATTATATGTTTCACGTCACTGATGTAAGACTTTTCTGCAATATAGACAGAGTAAACATCCCTTGGCAAGGTTAATGCAAACGATTCCGTACCAATTGCGTGAGCTTTATTATTCAAATACAAAGAAATTCCTCTCATTGGCTCAGTGAATGGAGAAATAATAAATTTAACCCCTACAGGCTTCTCCTCGACTTTGGAAAACAATGTCAAAGCAGAGGTTTGCTTAAAACTTCGCTTCTCAATCATGTTACTCCAATCAGTAGAGGATAAATTAAAATCCAAGGCAGGCATCACTGAATGTCCAATCAGTAATAACAGTTCTAAATCTGCATTTATTAACGGTTCCACATAATTCTTAAAATCGATTACCTTCTCCAAGTAAGGGACTATGTTTGCTCGATGCATTTCTAGGAACAAGTTGCAAAGAATAGGAATTATGTTTACTTTACCTTCGAAATTAGCCACTTCACGAGCTTGACTCTCGTGGAATTCTTCAAGTATTCTATCATCACCACCGTATTCAAAAAGACTGAGAAAAAAGTGCAATTTTTCCTCACTGCTCCATTTGTCAATAACATCACCACTTTGATACCGTTTCACGACAGTTTCATGTTCCGAATTTAAAGTTGTCATCGAATATATTTCTTCGCCGTTGGTTCGTTGAAAGAGAACAGCAAACATCATGCTCCAGACGTCGGAAACTTTTCCAAAACCAATAAGATTGTCATCAATTTGATAGTAGTGTCCAAATTCAGTCAATAACATCCAAGTTGATTTGCCAGAGGGTTGCAGCCAATCTAAAATGTTTCCAATTCGAATTAATTGATTGCTGTGTCTTGGTTTGCATGTTCTCTTCAGACGTATGTTCATCAAAAACAAAATCGTATGTTCCTCGGGGGGAATTGTTTTTGAGTTACACAAACCTCTTTCAGTGCCAACACCAAACAGGGAATCATAATACTTGAGGACTTTCTTCTGATTCAATAGTCCATCGTTCAGACTGTAGTTTTCTTTCTTGATGGTCGTAATCTCTTCGGATGACAACAACATTTGGGTATAAGTGTTTTCCACAAATCCGTATAGTTGCAAATCTTTGTAAAAAGCAGACTCCGCTTCTTTTGAAATCGTAACATCATTAGATTTGAAAACAGGCAGTTCGATCCAAGATTTAGTCTTGATTGTCACAGTTACCTTTCTGTTGTATGAATCGGAGATCATAGGAACGCAATCAAAATTGGTCTTGATTGATTTTCCTTTTTTCTCTTTGAGTTTGATTGCAATATATTTTCCCTTTCGTGATTGGGAGAGACAGAAGAACATTAAATCATCAACATTCGCTGAAAGCGTTATTGTTATGTCGGTACCACTTTTAACAATTATGCCAAAGTGAGTTTTATGATGATAAATTCGATCGTACCAATGGATCATTTTACAGGGCTCTTTGCAATATGTTGGACCGCAGTTTTGAAGAGGTGCTTCAATAGAAATTTCCCTGTCCTAAAACAAAATGAAATAGGAACCCCAATATGAAGAAAGCTTATTAGCAAACATTGAAGATTCGGTTTTTATGAAGGAAGTGTGTCAAAATGGTGAAAATCAACACCAAACTAGATTAAAATTATGCTACATATGGCTCGAACCAGTGAAAGTATTTAAAAATACGGACTTTACGGACCAAAAATGAAAAATTACGGACCAATAGAATTTTTATTCTAAACTACTTCTTTAAATCAATTATTTTTAATTTTATATTTAATTTTCGAAAAAGTTCTTTGACAATTTTCAAATTCATTTTCAATTAAATTTCATATACAATTTTACGAAATTTCAATTATTTCAATTATTCTTCAATTAAATAATTAGAAAATAAAAACTTCAATTATTATAAAAAAAATTCAATTATTTCTAAAAATTTATGCTATATATTGCTTTTAATTGGATTTCTGAGAAGAATTGAGGGTCCCTATAAAAGAACCGGTTATAATAAGTTTTTGAGACTCAACATTCTCGACCTCTAAATAAAAAAAAAAATTTTAATTTTAATTTCTTGAAAACATTTTGTATTGGTATAAAGATTACCCAAATATTTCTCAAAAAATTATGGGATTAAAAACAGTTTAATTTTTTATTTACAGGGCAATGATTTCGAGCTTAAAAAACTTATAACCGGTTCTTTGATAGGGACCCTCAATTATATAAAAATTATTTTGAAAAAAATTGAATTGTTACGCAAAGAATTTCATTAAAATTTTTGCCAAGAATTTTATTAAAATTTTCTGATAACAATTGAAATTCGGAGAGGAATTTTTTTATTTCTAAAGATAATTGAAATTTTTACGAGCATAAAAAATTGTAGCATATATGTTCAACTAAAAAATATCTTCTATTAAAAATCAAAAATACAAAGTATATCCTATTAAACTCACCTCTTCATTCCAATTTATTTCTTCAATTGCATTCGCAATAGAAAAAAGTAACAAAAAAATATTTAACACCATTAATATTTCCATTATTTTGATTGATCAAAATATAAAAATAAAATTGATTTAATTTTATTTAAACTTTGTATTAAAGCGAATTTTGAAATAACAAACAGTACGCAGTTTGAATATGTTGTGATAAATTTTTCAGAAAATAAAAATTATTTTAAAAAAATCATTAAATTTATTGTAAAAGTAATAAAATAGATAGAAAAAAGTTGAAAAAAATATTAGATAATAAGAAAAGAATGTTATACTATTTCAAAACTAAATACATATTTTATGACTTTAAAATTTTGAAAAAATGCAAAAAATTTGAAAAAAAATAAATTGACTAAATTTTGAATTAAATAAATAAATTATTATTGTAATATGATTAAATATAATATTTAATAATAAATTAATTAAATTGTTGAGTTAATTAATATTAATAATTTAATAAATTATTCAATTAATTAATAAAACTAATTTAATTATAGTTAATATCAATTAATTAGTTAATTTATTAATTATTAATTAATAATAAAACATGATATTAAAATTAAATTCCAAACATTACATTAAAAAATAAATTATAAATATTTAAATTGATTTAAAAAAATCACGAATTATGTACACGTAACGGATCTTGTGTTTAAAGCACCCGTGTATGTCTAGTTGCATACGATAAGGGGCTATTCATTATAGTTTTATTTTCTTTGCAAAAATAAAATAAAATAAAAACTGTAAACTCGATATTTTTTCAAAATACTAAAAGTAATATTTCGGTAATTCTAATTTTCATAATTTAACACAAATTATTAATTTATAATTTTTCAAAAATTATGATACCAATGCAAAGTGTCTCCATCTTTACTAAAAGTCAAGATTTTTGAACTACGATAACAAACTGTAGGTATAATTCAAAAAAAGATAAATTTGTTGATGTATAATTTTAAATTTATATATAAAAAAACTATTTTTTATTTAAATATTTTATAGAAATTATTAACAAACAAAATTCCAACAATTATTTAAAAAAAATTTATTTTATATTTAGAAAAAAAACGTTGAATCATAAAGTGAACAAAAAAGTAGAATTCTTGTAATAAAATATTTATTTAAATATTAATAAAATAGTTCTAGGCACTCAGAAAAAAGTTAAGTATTTAGATAAATATTTACATAATACAAAATTCTTTTATTTGCGTATTGAGAGGTAAAAGAAAAGAAATTATGTCCTTGAAACATAAATAAAAAAAATTGCTAATCATAAGTCTTTTGAAAAAAATTATATTTGAATTGTTTAAACTTATTGTTCATTTGTTTAAAAATATTATTTTAACAAATATTTTATTAAATAATTTATATTAACAAAAATTATTTTCATCTATGATTAATTTAACAATAATTAGTGAATAGTAAAATCAATAGAAATTTTAATTATTAATTAATTTATTTCGATAAATAAACAAATAGATAAAAAATAAAATATTTTGCATAAAATTCGAGAATATTTTTAAAACATATTTTCAATAAAAAGAGTAGCGATTCTTTAAAATAATTAAATTTCCAAAGTTTTTCTTTTTTTTTGAGTTTACAATTAATGAACAAAAAGAAACGTTAACTATTTTATAAAAAAAAATTGAATTGTTTTTTTTAACAAAAATAACTGATATAGAATTTTTAATTAAAATTATTCAAAAATTTAATTTGAAACCTATTGGAATTCAATTATTCAAAAAAAAAAAAAATAGAAAGAAAGTTGAATTAATTTTGCAATGAAAAATATTGAATTATTTTTCAATAAATAATCAAAAATAAATTGTTCGATGAAAATAAATCAAACTTTCGATTTAAAAAAAATTTTAATTTGAAACCTTTTAAAATTTTAACTAATAATTTTTCACTAAATCAAAGTTTCCTTCGTTTAATAATTGAATTCTCAAAAAAAAAAAAAAAATTTCCCCAAATAGAGAATAATTTTATGTTAAAAATTGAAGAAAAAAATTGAATTTGAGAAGATTTGAAAATAAAATTTTAGAAAAAGTTTAAGTTTGATTATAAATATTCTGCAAAAACTTATTTCTTTGAAAAATAATTCATGTTTTTTATTCAAAATTAGTTGAACTTTCTTTCTGAATATTTGAATTTTAAAATTTTTTTTAAAACAATTGAATTTCAAACGGTTTGTGAAATTAATATTTTCAATAATCTCAATATATTGAAAATGTATAAAACTCTATTTATTAAAAAATTACAATAATTGATTTAGAGAATTATTTTCTGCTAAAAATTCTAGAAAATAATTGAATTTGTAATGAGTTAGATTAATAGTTTATTGAAATACATTGAATTTGAGAAAAATTAAAATCAAAATTTTGAGTATATAAAAAATATTTTGCAAAAACCTATATTTATTGAAAAATAATTCAAATTTTTTTTTAATTTAAAATTAGTTGAACCACTTATTTATTTGAATAATTGAATTCTCAAAATTATTGCAAAAAATTGAATTCTCTAAATTATTGCAAAAAAATTGAATTTCAAAATTATTGCAAATAATTTCACAAGATTTTGTAATAAAATTTTAATCAATTTAAACAAAAAATTCTGTAAAACTTATTTATTTGAATAATTGAATTCTCTAAATTATTGCAAAAAATTGAATTCTCTAAATTATTGCAAAAAATTGAATTTCAGAATTATTGCAAATAATTTCACAAGATTTTGAAATAAAATTTTAATCAATTTAAACAAAAAATTCTGTAAAACTTATTTATTTGAATAATTGAATTCTCAAAATTATTGCAAAAAATTGAATTCTCTAAATTATTGCAAATAATTTCACAAGATTTTGAAATAAAATTTTAATCAACTTAAACAAAAAATTCTGTAAAACTTATTTATTTGAATAATTAAATTCTCTAAATTATTGCAAAAAATTGAATTTTAAAATTATTGCAAATAATTTCACAAGATTTTGAAATAAAATTTTAATCAATTTAAACAAAAAATTCTGTAAAACTTATTTATTTGAATAATTGAATTCTCAAAATTATTGAAAAAAATTTAATTCTCAAAATTATTGTAAAAAATTTAATTCTCAAAATTATTGCAAATAATTTTACAAGATCTTGAAATAAAATTTTAATCAATTTAAACAAAAACTTCTGTAAAACTTATTTATTTGAATAATTGAATTCTCTAAATTATTGCAAAAAATTGAATTTTAAAATTATTGCAAAAAATGAATTTTAAAATTATTGCAAATAATTTCACAAGATTTTGAAATAAAATTTTAATCAATTTAAACAAAAAATTCTGTAGAACTTATTTATTTGAATAATTGAATTCTCAAAATTATTGAAAAAAATTTAATTCTAAAAATTATTGGAAAAAATTTAATTCTCAAAATTATTGCAAATAATTTTACAAGATCTTGAAATAAAATTTTAATCAATTTAAACAAAAACTTCTGTAAAACTTATTTATTTGAATAATTAAATTCTCAAAATTATTGCAAAAAATTGAATTCTCTAAATTATTGCAAAAAATTGAATTTCAGAATTATTGCAAATAATTTCACAAGATTTTGAAATAAAATTTTAATCAATTTAAACAAAAACTTCTGTAAATCTTATTTATTTGAATAATTAAATTCTCAAAATTATTGCAAAAAATTGAATTCTCTAAATTATTGCAAAAAATTGAATTTCAGAATTATTGCAAATAATTTCACAAGATTTTGAAATAAAATTTTAATCAATTTAAACAAAAAATTCTGTAAAACTTATTTATTTGAATAATTGAATTCTCAAAATTATTGCAAAAAATTGAATTTCAAAAGATTTTGAAATAAAATTTTTAAGGAATTTAAATAAAATAATTTTGTAAAACTTATTTTTGTTGATAAATCAGAAATTTTTTTTTACTTTTTTTAAGGCAATTTTTTTTATTAATTAAATTTTCAAAAAAAAATTCTTAAAATTTATGAAAATAATTGAATTTTGGAAGAATTTCTATTTTAATTTTTAAAAAGTAATTTCACGTTTGTTTCTAGTTGAATTTAAAACAAAAATTTGAATTTAAAACAAAAGTTTGAATTTAAAACATAATTTGAATTTAAAGCGGAAATTTCTTTCAATGAAAACAGGGATAGACAATAAAAATACTTTCTGTTATTACCAATAATAATTTATTAAAAGATGTATCCGCGGAGGCGATTATATATACACTGAAGTCATTAAACGACGCGTAACCAAAAAACATTTAAGAAAAAAAAAATTAAAAAAAAAATTACAAACAAAAATAAATCATGTCAATAGTTTTTTTAAATACAAAAAGAAAAGCAAGACATGAAAAATAATAACATGCCTCTTTCTCGCAAGCGAGAAGAATCGTTTCCGCGTGTTCATTTAAAAAAAAGAAGGGGGGGAGGCAATCAAGAAAAGTTCCATGTAAAAAAAGGAAAAAAATGAATAATACAAGAAAAAAAATCAATATCGCAAAAAGGTTACGAAGCGTAAAGCTTTTTTTTCAGAGAGAATGGATTATATTTTAGAAATATTTTTTTTTTTTTTTTTTGAGTCAATTAGAAATGGGGAATTAATTGTCATCAACTTCGGCCTCTTGTTCCTCGTCGAATTCCGCGTCCTCATCAGCGGTAGCCTCTTGATATTGCTGATATTCAGAGACAAGATCATTCATATTTGATTCGGCCTCAGTGAATTCCATTTCGTCCATTCCCTCGCCGGTGTACCAATGCAAGAAAGCCTTTCTCCTGAACATCGCGGTGAATTGCTCAGAGATACGTTTGAACAATTCCTGAATTGCTGTCGAATTACCAATGAAAGTGGCGGACATTTTCAATCCACGTGGTGGAATATCGCAAACGGCTGTCTTCACATTATTCGGGATCCATTCGACAAAGTAGGAGCTATTTTTATTTTGAATATTGAGCATTTGCTCGTCAACCTCCTTCATTGACATTCGTCCTCGGAAAATGGCGGCGACCGTCAAATATCTTCCGTGTCGTGGATCGCAAGCCGCCATCATATTTTTCGCGTCAAACATTTGTTGCGTGAGCTCCGGCACCGAGAGGGCCCGATATTGTTGGCTGCCACGCGATGTCAACGGTGCAAAGCCAGGCATGAAGAAATGAAGACGCGGGAATGGTACCATATTGACGGCCAATTTCCTCAGATCCGCGTTCAATTGTCCAGGGAACCTGAGACAGGTGGTAACACCAGACATCGTCAACGACACCAAATGATTCAAATCCCCATAAGTTGGCGTCGAGAGTTTCAATGTACGGAAGCAAATATCGTAAAGTGCTTCGTTGTCAATACAATAAGTTTCGTCAGTGTTCTCCACCAGCTGATGAACGGATAATGTGGCATTGTAGGGTTCAACGACAGTGTCCGACACTTTTGGCGATGGAACAACCGAATAGGTGTTCATTATTCTGTCGGGATATTCTTCGCGAATTTTTGAAATGAGAAGTGTTCCCATTCCGGAACCGGTGCCACCACCCAGGGAGTGGGTCAGTTGGAAACCTTGGAGACAGTCGCAGCTCTCGGCCTCCTTGCGCACGACATCGAGAACAGAGTCGACTAATTCTGCGCCCTCGGTGTAATGGCCCTTTGCCCAATTGTTGCCGGCGCCCGATTGTCCAAAGACAAAATTGTCGGGGCGGAAAATTTGTCCGAATGGTCCGGAACGTACGGAATCCATTGTACCTGGCTCCAAATCGACGAGAATTGCTCTTGGAACGTATTTGCCGCCGGATGCTTCATTATAGTAGACATTGATTCTCTCCAATTGGAGGTCAGAGTCTCCATGGTAGGCGCCGGTTGGATCAATACCATGCTCGTCGCTGATTATTTCCCAAAACTGCGAAAAAAAGAAGACACTTTAGTTTCAAGACAAAAAAAATAATTAGAGCAATTTTTATTTTCATTCATTCGACACAATTATTTATTTACTTCTAAATTTTATATTTATTTCTATTTATTTATTACTTAAATATTAATTTCTATTTATTTATTATTTATAATATTAATTTCTATTTATTTATTATTTAAATTATTTACTTCTATTTATTTGTTATTTATAATACTTATTAATTTACAAATATCTCGTTCCTAGTTTTGATTGTTCAAATGAACGAAATTTTTTATTTAAACATCTTTTAAAACTACTTTTTAAAAATTAACAATAATTAAAATTCTGTAAATTTTAGATTTTTGCAAAATTACAATTCAAAGTTTCTTTAAAAAGTAGGTGCAATTTTTTTCCAAATTATTGAAATTGATTATTATTAATTATTATTATTATTATTATTATTATTGTTACAAAAAAAATTTCTTAAAAAATTTTAGTTAAAAATTTTGAAAAAAATTACATTTTGAAAAAGTTTGAGAAGCAACTTTTAAAAATAATAGAATTTCAAAAGTTTTCAAATTAAAAATTTTAAAAATAGAATAATTATTATTAAGTTATTATTATTATTATTATTACAAAAAAATTTTCTTAAATTTATTGAAAATTATTGATTTTATTAAAAAGAATTTTAGTTAAAAATTTGAGAAAAAAATTAAATTTTGGAAAATTTTAAGTAGAAATTTTTAAAAATTGAATTTTAAAAGATTTCAAATTAAAATTCTTTTAAAATTGAAATTTTGAATAATTTTAATTAGAAATTTTGTAAAAATTTGAAAAATCACAGTTTTTTTCGAAAAATTTTTTTTCTCAAAAAGTAATTGCACTTTCACTCTTAAATAATTGATTTAGAGAAGTATTTTTGTTTAAAATTCTAGAAAATAAAATAAATTTTTGTCAATTTTGAATAGTAATTTTTAAAAATAATTGAATTTCAATAGGTTTCAAATTAAAATTCTTTTAAAATTGAATTTTTGAATAATTTTCAGTTAAAAAGTTTAGTAATTGCACTTTTTTTCCCAAATTATTGAAATTAATTATTATTAATTATAATTATTAATACAACAAAATTTTCTTACATTTAGGTTGAAAATCATTGATTTTAAAAGAATTTTAAGTAAAAATTTTAGAAAAAAATTAAAATTTGTAAAAATTTAAGAAGCAATATTGAAAAATAATTGAATTTCATAAGATTTCAAATTAAAATTCGTTTAAAATTGAAATTTTGAATAATTTTAATTAAAAATTTTGTAAAAATTTGAAAAATTACACTTCAATTTTTTTCAATTAGGAATTGAACTTTCTTTCTTAAATAATTGATTTAGAGAAGAATTTTAGTTGAAAAGTCTAGAAAATAATTAAATTTTTGAAAATATAGAGTTGAAATTTGTAAAAGTAATTGAATTTCAAAAAATTTAAAGTTAAAATTTTTTTAAAAATAAAATTTTAAATAATTTGAAAACTAAAAAAATCCATTTTTTTAAATACTTGAAATTTCTTTTTTAAATAATTGATTTTTAGAATAATTTTAGTTAAAAATTCTAAAAAATAATTAAGTTTCAGAAAATATAGAATATCAACTTTTAGAAATAATTGAATTTCAAAAAGGTTTAAATTTAAATTTTTTAAAATTGATTTTTTGAATAATTTAAATTCAAAAAGTTTGTACAACTCTACTGTTTTAAAAATTACATTTCAATTTTATTCAAAAAGTAATTGAACTTTCCTTTTTTTGAATAATTAAATGACTAAAAAACATTGTTAAATTTATTGAAAATAATTTATTTAAAAAAGAATTTTTGATGAAAATTTGAGAAAATAATTCAATTTGAGAAAATTTTGAATTGCAATTTTTAAAAATAATTAAATTTCAAAAGGTATCAAATTAAACTTTTAAATAAAAAATTCAGTAGAACTTATTTTTCAAAATAATTGTAATTCAAATTTTTTTCAAAGAGTAGAACTTTTTTTTGAATAATTGAATTCTTAAAATTATTGAAAATAATTGATTTTAGAGAATTTTAGTTCAAAATTTAAAAAAATAATTGATTTTTACAGAATTTAAGTTCAAAATTATAGAAAATAATTGAATTTTAAAATAGTTACAATAACAATTTTCAGAAATAATTGAATTTTCAAGGGTTTGAAATTCAAATTTTTTTTTAATTTCTATTTTGAATAATTTTTCAGAAACTAAAATTAATGGAAATATTTTTTATATCAAAATTTTCGATTTTTAATAATTTCTTTTCCTCAAGATAATAAGATATTTATAGAAATCGCATCATAATAACACATTCCAAACTCAGAAACTTGACAAAATTATTTAACTACAAATAAAAATGTCCAATTTCTATTTAATCGAATTTATTTTTAATTTGAATTTAATTTTTATATTTTAACTTTGAATTTAATTTTATATTTTAAATTTGAATTTATTTTGTACATTTCAAATTTGAATTTTATTTTAACAATCATTTATAAAAAAAATACACTATAAATAAAATAAAAAGAATTGAATGAAAATAAATTCATTCAATTCTTCTTTTTATTTATACTAAGTCATAAATATTGAGAAAAAAAAAAATTAGTTTTGAGTTAATTAACACAAAAATTGTGTGTAGAGAATTCACTTTAATTGGTTTGATTTCAAAACTCATGTTAAATTGATACAATACCGTTACTAGAGTATTATAATTCTTTTTAAATTTCCTTAATGAAATGAATCACTATATAATTTTCTTTACAAATTTTGTTTCTCAGAATTTTTCAATGAATCATTGATAATAATTAAAATTACACCTTTCATTTCTAATATCATTCAAAACTCGTTCTCATTTTCTTTAATTTCTAATATTTACAAATAATATTTAGATCAAAATTATAATTCCAATTTTCTCTCATTAATTTATTCCACTGTATTTTTTAATTAATCACCATAATTACTACTACTAATTTAATTAAATATTTATTAAAAAAATGTATAAATATTTATTAAATTTAAATTAAATAAAAAATTGATTTTAAATATTTTTTTCGTTTGAAATCGAATGAATTGCAGCATTTTTTTGGATTATAAAAAAAAGAATTGAAGAAAGAAAAAAAAGCTTCGTCAAAAATTCCTTACGAGGCTGAAAAATAACAATGGCTTTTGCCTTTCTGGAAAAAGTATGCCAATATAAAAGGGAGGAATGTAAGGTTTCCAATTTTGATTTTCTCTCTCAATATAAAAAAAATGTTTTTAACCAGAAAAAAGATCACGTCATAAATCTCTCATTAGGTTTGAAATGAGATAAAAAAAAAGGGAGGAATTCAAGGAACCGGCCGGGAGGAATACAATTTTCTTTACATATTTGGTAATATCTTGCCAAGTAATGTCAACCTACGTCGACCTGACGTCCTTGGCGTTCAATATTACACAACTTCGCTTGATTAAAAAGAACAGGTAAATTTCATTTTATTTTTCGCTTCAGCAAACAGAATACAGAAAAATTCTCTCTGAAATCTTTGCCTTTTTTTGGAGTTTATTTCATTTTATTTTAAATTTTTCATTCTCGAATTTATTCTCAATTTTATTCTCGAATTTATTCTCAATTTTACTCTCAAATTTATTCTCAATTTTACTCTCAAATTTTATTCTAAATTTTATTCAATATAAAATATTTTATCCAATAAATATTATTTGATTCATGTAAATATTTTAATTAAAAATAGTCAAATAACTGTTTATTTGAATCAAAGAAATTTTTTTTCAGTGTAAGATTGAAATTTTTTTTTAAATCTAAACTTTACTCGAGAAAAAAGAGAGACAGAAAATAAAATCGACCCCCTTCTCTTCTAAATGGCAGAGAGAAATAATTAATTAAAAATAAAAAATTAGGGTCAGCAAAAAATGTGGAAAAGCGCATATAACGAACAATAATTAATTTTCTCTCGTGCGATGACACTGAATTACTTAATCTTTATAACGGGACATTTGAAAGCTCTGTTTATTCTGTGCCAACAGACGAGAGATTATCAACAGTCATATTTAGTCATCATTCGCTAATCATCTTTTCTTTGACCTTTAACGCTGTGTTACCAAGGGAATTAAATTTGGCATTTTCATTCAATTTTTCTCGAAAGAAAGAAAAAATTTTATTCCCATCAAGATTTTCATTCTTAAATCCCCAGAAAATTATTTTCTAAATATTTCCCTATTTATTACTTTTAGTTTATTTTAATTTTTAAAAACAAATTTAAACTAATTTTCAAATTTTTTACAGAAAAATTAATTGTTTATGAATTTTTTTATATTTAAATATTTTCCGATTTATTATTTTTAATTTATTTTAATTCATAACAAATAAATTTAAACTAATTTTCAAATTTTTAACAGAAAAATAAATTGTTTATGATTTATTATTTTATTTTTTATTGTATTTATTATCTTATAAATTATTTTATTTAACCATGTTGAAGCCCACAACGTTTATCAACGAAAAAAATTGTTCATTTAGTAAATTAATAAAATATAACGCAATATTGCCACAAAAATATTTAGAAAGAATAGATTGATGTTTATTTACTAATAATAATTGTTAGATATAATTAAATATTAAATAAAAATAATATTCAAATAGATTAGGTAAACAAATTTTTTCGTTGATCAACGTTGAGGACTTCAACTTCGTTGTATTTATTATTTATTTATTAATTATTATTTTATTTAGTATTCAGTTATTAGTTTATTTACTATTTACTTAGTAGGTATTTAATAAATACCTATTAAATTTTTAATAAATTAATATCAATTAAAACCGTTTATAATGTCAATAAATTAAAACAGATGCGAAATTAAAATTATAAATTTAGGAAATTAAATAAAAAAAATGTATTTTCTTTATTTTATTAATTAATTACACCTTAATTATAAAAAAAAAATTTCTTGTTTTTTTGCGAATTAAATATTTTTCATAATTAATGTAAAGAAATTAATTAACGTAATACTATCGGAACAACTAATAAATAGAAAATCAAAGAAAATAACACAAAATCCGTAAATCAAAATAGAAAACAATTTTTGAAAATAACAGTCAATTTAAATAATAAAGAGAAAATTATTTGTGTTTCAATCAAAACAGAATAATTCAAAAATCAATCAATCGTACCGTAAGCGTCTATATTTAAAACCGTTGGAACATCCCGAGTCGGCAACCGGTCGATAGCGAGAATTCAAACAATTTTTTTGTCACACACACACACACACTAGCAAAAAAAAACCATTTTTTCCACTACAAAAAAAACCTTATTTCTCTAAAAAAAGACATTTTTTTATTTCATCGTAAAACAAGGAGTTGGCTGGACGCTGAAGGCCAGGTGATGGTTTTTAGGGAGAGGGAATAACTGGAATACCGTTGATGAAATCAGCAAAAGAAAAAAAAAATTCAGCACACTTTGCAAAATGGAAGACGAGAATTTTCTCCTCGATTCACACTCACACACAGGGAAAATAAAACTTCGGTATTATTTCCAGAAGGAATTTTAACTTTTCTATTAATAAAAAGCGAAAATTCTCGAATGATAGGATAAATGGATCAACGGTTTTTCAGGACGATTGTTTGCTTTGAAAAAGCGATGGAACAAAGGGCCGCGGCACATTCTCTCCGGCATTCACGCGTCTTTGCACACACATCAACTTGGAACATTGTAACAATTATTTTAAAGAATATTTCTTACCTTGGCTCCAATTTGATTACCGCACTGGCCAGCTTGAATGTGAACGATTTCCCTCATCTTGATTTTGCTTCTTTAAAATTGTCTTAATATCGATTTATTGGTGAAAAAACAACGTTGTTTAATCTATGAATGTGACGAACTCCGCACTGAACACTTCACCAGACGAGACAGGACCAAGGCCCGAGACAGGCAACGAATATGTAAAAGGGGGGAAGGTAGAAGCGAGGATTTTCATTGGCTGTTGCGCCCCTTCTACCCAACAATGGGAGTCAAGCGAGCGACAGGCGTCGGCGTCGCCGACGTTGCCACTTTTACCAAAGTAAGCATGAATTTCCGTTTGTTATAAACGAATCATTTTTTTTTTTCATATTCTCTATATGGTCTTGTATAGTAAAAAAATTAAGGTAACTTATTCTTTATCGATTTAAATTATTCTTTAAAATTAGACGATAATGGTGACGATAATATTTTGTCGTCGATTATTTAATAACGTTTTTCCCGCCTTTAATTTTTTTTTCCCATCTTTCCTTCTAGAAAAGTTTAAATGGTCGTTGAAGGTCAATGATCGTTATTTTGAATGTAATACAATTTTCTCTCTATTCTTTTTTTTGCGAAAGGGAGAAAATTAAGAATGATTTTTCGCTATTCTTTCAGTTGGGTTTCTAGGTGAATTGTTATTATTATCGTAGGATGTGGAATAAACATTTAATTAGAGATTATTACCCCGTTATGTCATTAATTATTATTAATTAATAACTATATTTAGCGGGAATTTTTAATTGTTCTTTATTATTGGACTAAAAGTGGAGTAAATTTTTTCTTTTTGATTTAAATTTTCGACAGTTTTTAATAAATTTTTTTATTAAGTAATTTTTTTTTGCTTTAGAATCAATTTATTGTATTTCATCAGCGTTGTGGTCTATTTTTAGAAAAATTTGATAATTCGTAGTAAGGATTTTTAATATTCGTACACAATACGTTGAGGAAATTTTTAAGGAAATTTTTTTTTAAATTTTCTATATAGGTAATAAATATAATTATAATTGTTTCTGTGTATAGAAATAATATAATTATATAATTTTTGTAAAATATTAATTTTACCTTGGAATTGTAAATTTTTTATTTATTTGAGAGAAAAATTAGATGAAAATATTTATTTTAATGAATAAATATTTATTTAAATGAAAAATATTTATTATTGTAAATAAATATAAATTTTTACCATATATTAATTTATATCCAATAAATATTAACTTTTATCAAATAAATATTCATTTTTATGAAATAAAAATTATTTTTTACCAAATAAAAATTAATTTTTACCAAATAAATATTTATTTTTACCAAATATTAATTTCTATTAAGTAAATATTGTAAAAATTGATTTTTAAATTTTATTATTAAGTAAAAATTATTGTAATTTGGATTTAAAAATACACCGTATACTTTGAATAAATAAAAATTAATAATAATTTTTAAAAATAATATTATAATAAATAATATTATAATTAACTAATTATAATTGTAGAATAATAAATAAAAAATAATAATAATAATAATAATAAATAAATAACAGTGATAATAATAAAAAATAATAACAATAAATATTAATTTGAAATTGGATTTCTTTTTATAAAATAAAAAATTCGAATACAAAAGACAATAAATTAAAAAATTAATTAAACAATTAAAATAAAAATTAAAAATGAATTGACTGAAAAATTAAGAAACAGTAAGTTTGTTATTAATTTTTAAATAACTTGAATTTTAAAAATGAGTTCAACTTTAATTGAAAAGCTGTCTGATTAAAATCGTGGGCGAAAGAGTACAGTCAAGAGACTTTTTTGGTCATCAATGTCAAAAGAGACACATTAATCTTGAAATTTAAATGACTGTCTTCTTTTTTTTGAGACAAATTAAATATCAAATGCATCAAGGTAATGATTCATTAAAAAGTGTATATTTAAAAATTTTTACTTTCAAGTAATTTTTACACCTATTCTCTAATTTTTTTTAATGAATATTTCTCATTTCTATTATTTACATTTTTGATTATTTATTATGTTTTTATTTTTTCAAAGGTTTTTTTTAAATTGTATTCAAAGTCTTCTTTGCCTATTAATTTCTAAATAAATAATTTTTTTTTTTTTTATTTATTTTTTTTTTTATTGTTGTAATTTTATAAACGCGCATATATTAGATATATTTCTTGTCTTTATAGATTCTATATATTTATTAATAGTATTATACTCTCGAAAGGTCTATATAATTTCTGAAAGTCTATAATTTAACTATGCAAACTAGGAATGCAAATATTATAAAAGTTCAAAAGATATGATGTCAGAATCCAAATGGAGATATTTTTTTTCGTATTTTTTGTTTTGCAAAAGAAACCGCAAATAAAAATTTATGTAAATATTACAGGAGATTTATTATATAGTATTTATTATAAAAAATTTTTGGGTATCCAAATTTGGTTTTTGTATTCAAATTATATTTTAATTATATTTTTAATTATATTTATTCAAAAAAAAAAATATTGAAAATATCATTCGGAAATAAATAAAATCTGACGGGGGATTCGAACCTACGACCCTAACCACCGATTTACAGTAGACTGACGCCGTTACCACTACGCTACGGACGCTTATTTTATTTATCAAAATTATTTTTCGGTTATTTTTTATTTAGGTTTATTTCCGGTTTTTAATAAATCATAATAATAGGTACGAACATTATTTTCTGTTGCAGTTAAAAAAAAATACTAATGAGGGAACTGGACCAATCGACCTTAAAGGTAGGATTTTATATATTTATAATTATGTTATAAAAATTTACTACATATTTATTATTATTGTAAAAATTTAAATATATTTAAATTTTCTTTACTAGTTAAAAAACATAAATATAAAAGAAAATAAAAATATTAAAGTATAATCACAGTTAAAAGAGAAAAAAATAATTAAGCTAGTACACAAGGATTGTCTATACCTGTGGTACCGGAAATAAAAAAAAAAGAATGATTCACTTATATGTATAGAGCTATAGTCACATAAAGAATCGTATCACCCTTATATTCAACCCCGACGTCTCCTAGAAATGAAAAAGTCGATAAACATGACTCACTATAGTAGAACACGCCCTCATGTATGTATATATGTATATATACTGAAAAGTAACAATTACTTCCGCAATTTAGCAATTTCGCGAGCAGTAGCATCAAAGGATGCATCCTAATTAATTTGTTATTATCGCGTTTTTAATTTTCTTTCGAGTTTAAATGCGGGAAAATATATAGCTTTGACATTTATTGATCATTTATTGCCATTTATTGCAACTTATTGCAACTTATTGCAATTTATTAAAATTTCCAATTTTTATCTTAATTATTAACTAAATTAGTTACTTTTCCCAAATTCAGTTTGATTTACATACTCCATTTTTTTATATGCATAAAAAAACGAATAAAGTAACTTTTACTATACTCTCATAGTAAAACCTATAAACTGAAAAAAAAATTATGCAAAACTAAAAATTTTTGCGCATTTTTGACAATTTCTAAGTAAATTTTGCCATTATTTCTAAAAATTCATGCTATATTTCTTTTAATATTCAATATAATTATTATCTAAAATTTTAACTAAAATTCATTTTTAAATCAATTTTTATTAGAAAATTCTTATATACTAAAAATTTAAGAAATTTTCATTTTCGTTCAACTTTTTTAAATTTCCATAATCGATTTAAAGGTATGACTTTGTAATGAATATAATAACGAAAATATCGTGTCTAAATCCAAAAAAAGACTATGATGTCAGTGTTGGTTATACAGAGATATATAAATATGACACATTAACTGAAATTGAAGGTCATAACATTCAGTCAGTGGATTATTATATGAAAAATAATTGTCCACAATCATTATATTACTTTAATTTAATTATTATACTAAATTGCAAATAGGCGACTATAAATTAATAAATATATTTGAAAGAAATATGTATGTCATGCCTAATATGCTTTATATGAGATTCAAGTCAACGATAATTAAACTTTCAACCTTGCATGCAATATTTATATATATATTTGCTATGCATACATTTTTGCACATTTTTATATTCTTCTTTTTATTTTTTAAAAAAGAAAAAATTGATGCTAATTACGGATTTTCAAAATTCAAAATGGCGGATTCAATATGGCCCGGCATTTTTTTTTTCGAAATTGCCCAAATTCGTTTGAAACTTTGTTAGTCGGGGGGTTTTCAAGTTAAGGCATGAAAGGGCTTAATATTTATAAAAATATGTTTAAAACGAACATTTTTTTAATGTATTAATATATAGTTTCAAGAAAATAGTTTACAAAAAATATTTCAATAATATTCAACTTAACTTGTTGTCTATAATTCATTTTAAAACTTCTTCACCCTTGACTTCTGATGACAGTAGAGAAAGTCTTTATATAAATGTAACATTTTCCGTTTTTATAAAATTCGCTTATAATATCAAATAATTCATGACCAATATTATTATTATTATTATTATTAATTTCTTATTATTATTATAACTATTAGCGTGAAATTCAAATTTAATTTGGAACATTAAAATGAATTATTGTCAATTAGTCAAAATTAGTCAAAATGAAAAATAAAATGGTCCAGACAATACAGCATCCCATCCAGTTAAGTAAACGCACATATATTTACTTATAGATAAATCCTATAATATATATAAGTAAACTTGTACGAGATCATTATCCGAATTGCAGAAAAAAAGTAAAAAAAAAATCCGAACAGTCTTCCGATATAATATATAATAAATGCCACAATTCCTCTCTTCACGCTGTTTAACCAGCGAAAGGAATTTGATTTAATCTTTCAATTTGTGTTTGCGCCGTTATATTCTCCTTACACACGATGCTCCTTTTTATACACTTTATACACAGTATATTATTGTATAGAAAACGTAATTCAATTACTGTTATAAAACATATATAATTATAACCTGAATTACAAAACTACGGAAAAAATTATTTTGAAAAAAGTTTGGTAACAAAATAATGTATACAAAAAATTGTATAGAATAGAAAAAAATCGTATATACGGTTTTTTGTAGTGTTCAGTTGGATTAAAATCACTGTTGGGAAAAATTTCGCAACTTGCAACTTTGGTCAGGTGGTTAGAGTGTTGCG